TTTTTTCAGAGGAAGGGGCAAAGAATTAGGCACCTTTGTCTCTTTTCCATTAAAAATGTGTGTGAATACTAATCGATATGGAGAATTGCTACAGGTTAAAGTGCAGGTGGATGCATATTTGCTTTTGAGAGAGGGAGTGTTAGCACTTTCACTTGAGACAAGGTGTGGAGGTTTACTGGCAGTTGAGTATGTAAAAAAACTGTAATGATGAAGATATAATTAACTGGTCTTTGTGAGAATGAAGTTTGGGCAGGGGGCAAAGTGGCTCTTGGGCTTTTAAATTCAAGATATAAAGGCTTGATCATTTGTTACGTAAACACTGAGGATGTTTCTCAAGACTTCTGTATTGTTACTGTACTGCAGTTTTGGCCACTGAGGAGTACTGTACTGAGTTTTGGCCACTCTAATTTTTGCTCTGAAAATTGAAATGTCCTGTGTATCTGCACACATGTAAGGCGTAGGACTTGAAATTTTGAAATAGTATTTTAGAGATACACAGAGAAAGTAAGACTGGATGAAATTGTTAGGTTTACATAAAACATCTTAGTAAACTTAAGAATTAGAATGAGCTCTATTAGAACAGTGTAGTGAACTAGTGAATTAGAACTTGACAGTGATGGAATTAGTGGGAATACGGACAGACCCTGAATAGTCACAGAGTTAATATCACATAAATTACACAATCAAAACGAAAGGAAATTTTTCAAGTTTTACTAAATAAGGTAATTTCCCTCAGTTTAAAATCTCCTCTTTACTTGGATGTGCCCTTCCCCTGTGTAAGTTGAACAGTCAGCAGTCTGTAGAAGAAAATTATATCCTTGACTTGATAACCATATTGCTTCTTGGCAAGAAAAATGTCATAGATTTAAAATTAATATTTTTCTGCCTGTTACCAGCAGAGTCCATATGCTAAATAGAATTAAAGTGATGCCAAGAGATATACATACCCTTTGGACCTTGGTGGATACTGTTCCTGTTTTATTTAAAGAAATTCCCTTTAAATTAATGATGATTTATTACTCGCCCTGGTTATGTGCTGTTCCTTTTCCCTTAGTGGGTTGCTTCTTAGTTCTATAGAGATTAAAGATTATTTTTGCTTATTTTTTTTTCCCTCATCTGCAACGTAGTATAACTTTGCAGACTTCCTCAATTTGAGTTCTTTAGAACTTAAAATTATTTCTACTTATTTTTTTAGAATAAGTTGTGTCTTGGTCTTCTGTAAAGACACTAGAATTGAGTAGCCTGACTCAACAATAAGCCATGATTCTTTTTTTTTTAACTACTGCTGGTTAGTAGCTGGATTTCTCATTTTTAATATCCTTGGGTTTGTTATTTGATACCTGCCTGTCCCCTAGCCTGTGTCAGATAGAAATGATGATAGTTTGCCTTGTAAAACATTTTGAGACTGTTGTGTGGAGCCTGAATATACGTCTTTATATCAGTTTTGTAGTAGACCACTGGACTGGCAGTTGAAGAAGAAAATTTTGAGACTTGTGGAATTTTGAACTTTGTTTCCTTTTGTTTCAATTCATTGTTGCAACTCTTACTGAAATTACACAGGACAATTTTTGCCATCTGTTTTCAGAGTTCAGTCATGCATATTTGTTCTCTGGAGCCTTAGTAGTTATGCAGAAGCTAACTAAAATAGTTCTTACTGTGATAACATTTTAAGTTATGTTCATTGCTTTTCTACAGGTGAACATCCATTAAAAAGAAAAAGTTGTATTTTAAGAAAACCTTCAAATATTCTAGTAAAGACAGTAGTTAATATGTTATTCTGCTGATCTTTAAAGTTTCTTCTGTGAAAATCTGCTCACTTTTTTTTTTCTTAAAAGAAATTGTTTTATCCATTATAGCTATAAGTAAAGTACAGAGGTAAAATTGCTCAATATGAGTATTGGATAGAAATGATCCATTGGCCACAGAATTTTTCACTGTATTCACCTGGATTAATATCATAGAATCATGGAACAAGTACCAAGTAATCTTCAACTCGAAGTGCTTTAAAGTAACTGAGAAAATAACTATTATCTGTGATTTATTTATTTGTCTTTCAGTTGGAACAAAGGACATCCACTCTACTGCCACATAAAACCATAGGAATGTTTAAATACTTGCAAAATACTGTCTCAGTTGACTTTCCTTGTATTCATTAGGAAGGGAAACAGCTGTTCTAGGTGACAAACAGACTTGTTACAATATTATTAAACTGATACAATGCTTTTTTTCCAGAGTGGTAATTAGTGTTTAGTCAGTTGTTTAGTCAGTTCAGATATTTTTGATGTGCAAGTGTTTCTTCATGATTCCACTTGAAAATTTAAGTTTTATATGTATAAATCTGACCCATCAAAATGAAGGAAGCCTACAACTCTCAGGCTTTATGTGAGTATACAGTAGAACGTCACTGGTGGTTTTAATGGTTGGGATTTTTTGTTTTGTTTTGTTGCAGTCGAAATCAGCTTTCTTCTTTGCCAGCTTGCCTGTGTGGTCTTCCTCTAAAAGTCTTAATTGCAAGTAACAATAAGCTAGGTTCCCTTCCAGAAGAGATAGGTCAGCTAAAACAGTTAATGGAACTGGTATGTTACTGATCTTTTTTTATTTGTTTTATTTTTACCTTTTTTTTTTAATTATTTAACTAGAAATTTGCATTGCAAATATCTTCGAACAAATGCCTAATATTATAATGCTGGTTAAAAACTTAACTTTTGACCTTCTCAAGTGTGTTGGGTAGTAACACAATAAGAGTTTCCATGTTCTTCAGGACCCTTCTGAACAGCATCGTTGGCCTTGGTTCATTGAAAACAGCTTCTAACTTCATCATCTTTACTCAGTGCCTGCACTGGCTCCCTGTTTTGCTGTATGGAGTAGTTCAGAGTTCTGACCTCAGGCTCTGCAAAGCTGTATCCCCCTCTGTAGCACACTCCCCTTCTGCTTCCGTTCTTTGTTACCACATGGCATTCCACTAGTGATACTGGTCTTATCAGTCTATTTTCATTCTATTTCACTATTTTTTTTTTCATGCAACCCTCCTTTCCTGGGACACCCACCTAAACAGATTTACAAAATGATTATGTTCCTCTTGTTTTTGAAGCTGTCCATGTGACTACTGTTTCTGCAAGCAGTAGTTCTGTCATATATTGCCTAATAAATGGGAATGTGAAAAGGCAACAATTATTCGGTACCTTCACTTAAAATCAATTTAATTGCACATGTTTTTTTTAAGTTTGTATATGGAAAATGTTTATAAGAATACTTCCTTTTCTTGCCCTTTATCTTCCTCTTTTGTGTACTGTAGGCTGAGACTCTGAATTCTGTGCGGCATGTGCGTTATCTTCTGGTTATTTCTGTTCACCTTGACCTCTTTAAGAAGCAAATTGACAAATAAACTACTTTTTTCACTGATAATTTATGCACAGTAAAACAATAAGATTTGAACTTTTTCTCAGCTGCTGTTGTCTCTGTTGACAGCGTTCATCTTGCACATCTTTTCTGTATCTGAAAGTGCCTGTGTATCATATTTTTATAGTATTAGTTTCTCGGCTAAATTATGTTATAGAAATTGAAGTCACCTTGCTTTAGGCTCCAGCCCTGCTACTGGTTCTTCATTTGTGGACTTAAGTGGCAATTGTGGGGCTTTTTTTCCTTCTAGTATCCTTTTTGTACATCATCCTGCATTATCAGGCTTCTATTATTTTTTACAACTGATCTGACTGTTGGTGGGGGTTTTGGGGTAGTTACCTTTTTTCTTTCTATGTTATACCTGAGCTAAAGACTACCAACTTCATTTTGTTTTGTTTTGGAAGCATTATTAATTTATCTAATCAAACAATTTAATTTTTGTGTGTGATGGGATTAATTAGATTACTAAAATTGTTTTGATTTAATTAACCTTCAATAAAAATATGTTAAGGTATACCATTGTTTCTGTTTACTTAAAATAGATTCAGAAAAAGATTATGGCTCTGGTCTTCATATATATGAAGTTGAACAGTATTAAACACATCTCAATATAGGGGATAGGTTGACTTCATATATAATACCTCTTGATTGCCTCTAGGTTAAATGTAGCCAAGCTTAGTGGTTGGGGGTCTCATGTGAAATAATTGAAAGACTTGGCCTGACTGTCTGGTCAAAATCATTCATTTTATTTATATTAACTGAGATCTGTGATAATATTTTCAGTAAAGAGCTGCTGAAGTGCCCTCATATCTAATTTCTCCTCCAATATCAAGTCAGAACCTTTGCAGCAAAATGAACTAGCATTGCTGATGCTGGAAGTGTTTCATTTGTTAGTAAGAGTTTGTACATAGCTTAATAGTAGCCCTTATCCTTATTTTAGAATTTTGAAAAGTTAAAAACTAGAGGCTTGAAAATCAATCTGGATTATACTCAAAGGAGATAGTTTGTTTTGTTTTATTGAGCGGTTTTTAATTTTTTTTTTAATGAATCCTTTTTAAATTAATTTCTGGAATAGTGGATTTTCATATTTCTTTCCAGTTACAGTATGGTTTCCATGTTACTCTGTCATGAAGAATACAAGAATTCTTGCTCTAAAAATATTTCAAGTGAGAGGCTATAGCAACATGCCACTTTGGTAGTCTAGAAGAATTATGGAAGCTGAAGAAGGTTTGAGGCTAGTTCTTTGTGATTAGAAGGCGGAGGGGGGAGAAGTGAATGACAAGTTATTCTTAAATTGGGCGCAGTTCTGTTCAGTTGACCTGGCTGATTACTTTGATGCCACCTTAAGTGTTTGCTACATTTCCAGTGAAATGAATTGCATTATTTAGCTGGAAATGACTGGACTGTGATGTATGCAAATAGTGCTGGGATTGAGAGCCACTGTCTGTATTGGCATATATAATACAGATGAGAAGGTGGTCATTGTTCTAAAACAAGTGAAAAGATAAAATTAATTCTTAAGTCATGCTGCAGTTGTTGCTCAAAACATTCAGCTCTGTGAGAGCAATGCCAGCCTAAATAGCATGTGGCCTCCAAGCGACATCGCAGCCCAGCCCTCTGGCAGGGCACGCTGTTGTTGTGGGACACAGGCAGTGCAGGAGCTAAGCTTGCCCATGGGATCAATCCCGAGAGGTGACAGATGGCACCTGTGGCTGCATTTGCCACGTTCTTGTATTACTAGGACTTTGCCAAGCACCCTCAGGTTTTCAGTGTTTTGCAGCTTTTCACAGGCTGCGTGCAGTGAAATCTGTCTGTGTGTAGCAAATGGATTATTTTTTCTTGTTATTTAGCTTCTTAAAACAAATTTTACCTCTGTAGTCACTTCTAATTGACACAAGCATAGGTTGCTGCAAATTGGATCAAATCTTTCCAACTAACTTTCTTGCCTCCCTCCTCCAAAATGGAGTAGGTGGTTCTTTTTCTTTAACATATATAAATCTCTGTGTCACAAGTATAACTTAGATAGCACATGCAGTGAATTTTTAGGTATTCTTTTAAATTTTAGTGTTCAGATATCAGGAAGAAATTCTTCCCAGAGAGGGTGGTGAGGCACTGGAACAGGTTGCCCAGAGAAGCTGTGGATGCCCCATCCCTGGAAGTGTTCAAGGCCAGGCTGGATGAGGCTTTGAGCAACCTGGTCTAGTGGAAGGTGTCCCTGCCCATGGCAGGGGGGTTGGAACTAGATGGTCTTTCAGGTCCCTTCCAATCCAAACCATTCTGTGATTCTATGACAGCTATTTTACAAGCATCAAAATAACATATAAATTATTCTCTCTGCAGGATATATTCAAACTATAATGTTAAATTTAAACAGGCCTTACACTGATCTTGAATTGTGTCTGTGTTGTCATGACAGGACGAAATATAATTAGTGCAACAAGTCAGACCTTCAGCAAAAACGAGCCCCCAAAACTTGAGTAGGTGTTTGGATTTCAGTTGTCCATGAAACGAAGTTCCAAACTGCATGGATATCTAGGATTTTTAAAAAAAATTATTAGCCTGAAAACCATAGGCATTTGACTTGGATAGCGTTGCTTCCGTTACTGCCAAGGTAATGGGAAAGATGAACACTGTCTCTGTCACATACACACTCACGTAATTTTATAATAGTCAAGTTCATAACTAGAAATAATGGTATGCATCCTTGTTTTCCACAGCTGTTCAATCAAAACAATTTAAAAAAAAATTGGATTGCAGTATTTAGTAGGATAAAGGATACTACTGCCTTTAGAGATCTTTTGAATGCTGACATGCTGTCATAACAGATCAGTCTTACTGAGGATGTTTTGAAAGGTTGTAAGTGGACTTTGTTTTTGAGGCTACACACTGCCAGGTTTTTGGGTTTTTGACAAACACACACCTCCTTCCTTTAAAATTCTGCCTTTCCCTGACTTGTCCTGGTGTGTGTTACACATGGGCTAGAATTTCTCTGCCACAAGGTGACTTTAAAATCTAAATTCTGTGCTCTAAAAGTTGTGTATCTAATTATGAACTTGTTTAAAGTCTGTAGATTAAAAAGAGGACAGTAAAGCTTTAAAAATAAATGATCTGGGAATAGTGCAATTAACCGTACTTTGTGGCAACTTGGGCAAAAGATGCACTCATTAACTGGGATTTTTAATTTCCTTGTTGAAAAGCTAGAATTACTTCCCGACTCAGTTTTGACAAGGGAAGGAAGCTTTGGCAGCAGTGGGATTCTGTTGCGAGAAGGAACTTGTCTGATACAGCAAGTAGCGTTGCCAGGTCACATTTTGCTTTTACTATCATTTTTGTTGACTAATTTTTAGATTTGAAGATAGTGTTAATGAAACACTTTTGACTGGTATTAAAGCAGCAGTCTTCAGAGAGATGACTTGGAAATCTGACTGACTTTTAGGAATTTTGTAGTCTGAAGGTTCCTAGTTACTGTATAAATCTATCATTTGAAACAATCAGGAGATCAGGAGTGAACATCCTAAAAGTATTCCTTTGGCTCTGCAGGAAAATTCCCCACTTCGTTCTCATACAATGAAGCACTGTTTTCCTATTTTTAAGGAATGTTACCCAAATTTACAGGTTACCTGGAATGTAAGCAGAGGTTTCAATGTCCTTTTGATTTCACGTTGAATATAGATGGTTTGGCAATAAAAATGTCAGCTAGTATCTGAAAACTATCTAATTTTAGGCTGACTTAATCCAAGAAATTGATCTTTAGTACACATTCATAGTAGTTTCATGTTAGCAATAGTGTTAAAGTATAGTATTTATTACAGTAATACTACCATATATAAACTTGTTACTTGAGATTATGCTTAGTATAGACAATCAGACTTGGTTAGATTAGGCTCATAAGGAGTACCTTTTAAAACAATTATGTTGAATACCTGTAAAATACCAAGCAAGTCTTTATTATGTCCTCCTTTTTGATGTGATAATCAAACATAAGCCTTTCTTGAGCATCATTACAGGATGCTATTGCTGTTTTATGGTGGATTTTGTGGTTCTTTTGTTGCTGTTTGGTGTGTGGGTTTTTTTTTTCTGTTGGTTGGTTTATTTAACACTCTTGAGTAAATACTCCCTCTAGGACAACAGGAATCTTTTTTTTTAAAAAAAAAAAACACAACAGATTCACACAGTAGCAATTTATACTTCACCTAAACATATTTGGTAATACTGTCATGGTACTGAGTTCTTCAGATGAACAAAAGTTAAGATCAAAAAGGCAGAACATCTCAAGTAAATGGTTTTTAATGTTTCTAAAGAAATTAACTTTCAAAATCAACTTCTTCTCCAAATAAGTATTTGCCCTGGTTTTTGAGTAATGTGTAAACATTTTCTCATGTATCTAGTTTTGCATTGTATAGACAGAACATAGATAGTTGCGTGTTTTCAGGTTAATAAAATGTTGCAACAGGAATAGCAAGTTAGCTACAGTTTTACATCTGTATTATTTAATACTTAGGAAGCAGAAGTTCATTATTTATGTTACTTTTGCTTTAGGATGTCAGCTGTAATGAAATCACAGCATTGCCACAGCAGATAGGTCAGCTGAAATCTTTAAAAGAACTGAATGTCAGAAGAAATTACCTCGAAGTTTTACCCCAAGGTAAAAAAAAAAAAAAAAATCCTAATACCTTTATGGTAGCTCTTCTTATTAGAATTTTAATAGTATGTTTTATCATGTAAGTGAATATGATTAAAAAGTAGTAATTACCTTGTGTCCAAGCTTATTCTATTTGAGTTTGCAGAATATAACATTCAGTGGTGCTCTCTTGCTCGCTAAATAAGCGTGAGTTTTATAAAATGAATTATCTTTATGATTTAGGCATCTTCTAAGTTGCAGAAATACTTGCCTGTGAATGCAGTATAGGAACTGTCAGCTGAGTTGCGGGAGAAAAAAAAAGTTGAAAGGATTTATTTTAAAATTTATAATCATTTGTTTATTGATAACACTGTTCATTTCCTGGTATAGAATGAGGCAAATGTTGACTGTATTCCTGTCTGAGTTTGCATTTTCCTGTGTGCAAAAGTAGGTTTATTCAGAAAAAAATTATTACCTTATGGCAAAACTAAATAAAGTTATAACACCTTCTCTCTTTTTTGTTACATTTAGAACTAGTACAGCTCCCCTTGGTAAAGTTCGACTTTTCCTGCAATAAAGTGCTTGTGATTCCAATTTGTTTTAGAAAGATGGCACAGTTACAAGTATTACTGCTTGAGAATAATCCTTTGCAATCTCCACCAGCACAAGTAAGTGAATTGTACCTTAATATTGGGTGGACAAAAATAAATTATAGGGTATAAAATGTCACATTTCTGCAGTTGCAGACTTCTGAACTTCAGTCATCACCAACATTAGTTGTTGATATAGAAATAAGGCATTAAAAATATCATATGTTCTGTGTATGAGTTTGTGCACCAGTTGAACCAACGTGACTCTAGAAGAATTCCATTCTTTTCGATTCTCGTTTATTTTTGTCATTCCTATCTGCATCTAAAACTTCGTGTTCTAATATGTATGTAATTTTGAAAAAGAGAAGTGAGAAACTTCCTGGATACATTTTCTCTGTTAATATGAGACCAGTTCTAGAAGGTTCTACAGTGGTTTACCATTAACTTAAAAACTCTGCAGACAGTCTAGAATGAGATCCATATGAAATCAAACTCCTGAACTGTTGGCCATGCTGAGAAATCATGGTGCTTGTTGCTTAAGGACAGCAGGTTCAAACTACGTCTCTGAAAGCTACAATTGTTCTAGATCAACAGCTATTGAAATGCTTGAGAGACTTTATTGCACTGGGGAAATGCTTTTCGTAGCAGCTCCGAGGGATGAAAAACTGAACATGAGCCGGCAGTGTGCACTGGCAGCCCAGAAAGCCAACCGTATCCTGGGCTGTATCCAGAGAAGTGTGGCCAGCAGGTCGAGGGAGGTGATTCTGCCCCTGTCCTCTGCCCTGATGAGACCCCACCTGGAGTGCTGCATCCAGCTGTGGAGCCCTCAACATCAGAAGGATATTGACCAGTTGGAGCGAGTCCAGAGGAGGCCACGAAGATGATCAGAGGGCTGCAGCACCTCTCCTATGATGAAAGGCTGCAAGAATTGGGCTTGTTCAGCCTGGAGAAGAGGAGGCTCCGAGGAGACCTCATTGCAGCTTGCCAGTATCTGAAGGGGGCCTACAAGGGTCTGGGCGAGGACTTTTTACAAGGGCTTGTAGTGATAGGACAAGGGGTAATGGGTACAAATTGAAATCAGGGAGGTGTAGATTAGATATCAGGAAGAAATTCTTCCCAGAGAGGGTGGTGAGGCGCTGGCCCAGGTTGGCCAGAGAAGCTGTGGATGCCCCATCCCTGGAAGTGTTCAAGGCCAGGCTGGATGAGGCTTTGAGCAACCTGGTCTAGTGGAAGGTGTCCCTACCCATGGCAGGGGGGTTGGAACTAGATGATCTTTAAGGTCCCTTCCAACCCAAACCATTCTGTGATTCTATAACCAGTGGCGATGCCGTTACTATGCGGAAAAAATACGGAGCACGTTTCAGCAAGCACTTCAGCTAGAAGTGTGCAGTTAAAGAAAAAAATTCTAAAATACTGGTGAAATGCATCATAAAGATGCATGGACACTAGTAAAATCCATGTGACTAAGAGTATAAAGAACATGCTGAATAATTAGATGTCATTATTAACTAATTCTGAAAAATAATAATTCAATTTACAGTTAGTAATAGGCTGTTTGGTATATTTTATAATTATTTTTGAGTGAAAAGCCTTTTTTTTTTTAGTAGAATACATTCTTTTCTTGTTTTTTGTCTTCCTGTGGGTATTTATACCAGTACACACAAATAATTTATTGGGTAGTTGAAGCAGTTTTTAGTAATTAAAAAAAGAATAAAATCCATCTACATAGTATCAGTTGTGACGATGTGAGTTGGTTTTCAGGGAGCTTTACGTTGAGTTATGTCTGGAATAAAGTATTTCTTTCATTCTAGTTACAAGTCTAGCTGTTTTTTCTTGTCTAACAGATTTGTACAAAGGGTAAGGTGCATATATTCAAGTATCTGACTGTACAGGCCTGTCGGATTAAAACAGCGGACTCATTGTATCTTAATGCCATGGAACAACAGCATTTGCCACAGCCCGTGGAAGAGAGGTATGTATGAAACTCACAGAGGTTTTTCATATAATACTTGTGAACAAAGTGAAATAAGTTTATTTATATCTTTAGCTTCTAGACTTTCATTTGTTTAGATGCTGTTTAGAGTGTACCTTTTTGAAGAGAGATTCGTTTTGCTGTAATATATTTTATTTTAGTGAAACCCTTGTAAGAGTTTAGAACAAACTATTTCTAACAGTCGGTTCTGATTAAAGTTAGCATATAGGAACGATCTCATGAATGTTGAGGCCCTTTAAAGTGAAATGTGCTAATTAGGAAAGTGAAAGACAGTCTTTAATGTTTTATATCAACCACCTGGGAAATGTCGTCTTGCATTGTAGTTTAAGGACAGGAACTAGCTACAAAGCAGCTCCTTTTTATGAGACTTCCCGTAGCTAATTGGAGACCAGTTTTTAGCCAGCTCTTTCTTTGCTGCTGTGGGAGGTATAATATAACCAGTCAGAGAAAGTAGGATAATGCCTTACTTTTGGAGAAAAGTACTTAATAAAAACGAAGTGTTGATGTAAATAAAAATGTTGCTGCTAACACCCTTGGAAAAAAAGAACTGTGATGGAACTTTCCTGTCAGGCAAATAGGTAAGGTGGCAAATAGGTAACAATTTTCAAGCAAATTGTTTTCTTCCATATGTGTTTTCAGACACTGTTGTGGATTTCTGTCAGATAAATCCCAAAAGTAGGAAGAATCCAGCTTTCCCTTTGGGAAAACACCTTCTGGTTTTTCTAGGTCTTTTAGTATATAAAAAAATTAATGGGAATGTCATGTCCTGTATGACATTTTGGTCATATAGGAGCATACAGGTTAGGGTAGGGGGATGGTACAAGTAGGTACCAGTTGGTAACTAACAGCCCAATGCTCTATCACATAATACTTATTAAATTGTTTTTTTGGAGTTTAGCTTTACGCTTCTAAAGAAAAAGCATATCCAGCTTAGGATTTCCATATGCAGTTTCTACTCAAAATCCTTAGTGTTTACTGATTTACTGATTACTAATTTAAGATTGTTAGATACCCTGTTCATGTGAAGACTGATAAAGTTCTTTCTAAATTTCGGTGTCAATCTAAGTTCAGGATTAGAACTTTTAGTATTGCAAATGAGAGGATAATAAAGCGTAATAAAAAAAGTTAGGTGATGAGTGTATTGTATCTAATAGTGTACTTTCAAATGAGCAGAGGTCGTACTAGTTAATGAAACCAGAAGAGAGAGCAGTTGCCATTATTATAGTCATTGTCTTAAAAACCTAAATTTCAAAGTCTATTTTAAAGCACAAGAAGGAGGTTTCTGTGTTAATAATTACTCCAAGCCACAGGGAAATATCAGTTCATTTTTAATGCACCAATGGTTACAGTCAAATCAGTTGACTCCAGTTTGAGTTCAACTAGTTCAGTTGATTATCCCGTGGCTAAATGACTTCAGTCGGCCTCCTGTGCTACTTAGCTAGTAACTTAAGCCTTTTTTACCTAGTGTATGGAAAAAAGTAAGCTTTATAGGAGATTATTTCTGTTGTTTTCATTAATCATTAGGCTAACCAGCCATTCCATCTGGTCTGTTTTACTATCACCAGACAGCAAATATGTAGTTTGTAACCATACTAGGCTGTTTTGCCCTCTACCAAGACTGGTTGCAATTTTGCATTGATTAAAGTGAAAGCAGGACAGAATACGAATGGTAAATGCTATGATAGCTTTTTATTGTCTTTTTTTTTTTTTTTTTTTAATTCACATCTAGCATTGATGACATCTACCCAAGTAAAAAGGACTCAGATTCAGGTGTTGGTAGTGATAATGGAGATAAACGTTTGTCAGCAACAGAGGTAAGTTGCTTGAGTTTAGTGTCCAGTTCTCCTTCCATCCACACCCATATTTTCATGGAATCACAGAATGGTTTGGGTTGGAAGGGACCTTAGAGGTCATCTAGTTCCAAACCCCTGCCATGGGCAGGGACACCCTCCACTAGAAGGTGACTGTCTTTTAAGCTGGGTAACAACACAAATACATTTTTAGCCATCAGAACTCTGCAACCACATCCTCGGCAAGAGTTTCTTGGTAAGAAATAAGTAAAACAAAGATAAAAGGAGGCTGGGGTTTTGTGGGGTTTTCTTTGTTTGTTGTTTGGTTGTTTGGTTTTTTGGGTTTTTTTTGTCTGTATGCTTTCTGGAGAGGGCAGAGAGCTACTTGTTTATAAATGGTCAACAACCTACCAATAGTGAAAATTCGCTACAACTTACATAATCTGGAGAATGAGGACCAAACCAGAATCCACATGTGCTGTTTCCATTGAAGTAAATGTCCTAACAGGTTACATGCCCGATGGCTTTCACATGTTTTCTCTGACTGATGATGTTTTCCTGATGGGAATTCACAGGAGTTCAGTATGCCCAGTCCCAGTATGTTGTGTGGTGTCGTGGCTATGGGAGTTTGCTGTAGTGTAGGAACTTCAGAAACTTTGCAGATCTTAGTGTGTTTACATGCTCCGGCAGTTAGGCAGTGCCAGAAAGAAGCATTCAGAACTTCCTGAACCTCGTTGTCTGACTGAGCAAAGAGAAAGGATGGCTTTCTGAGACTAGTGTTATCCAAAGCAGTTGTAGCTGACTTTTCTAGACCTTTTTTCTGGGGTGCACTGCTCAGCCGAAACAGGGCACTAAATCTGATTGGAGTTGAACCGAGTAAATAATGATCAATAAGTAAATAATTTGCAATATAATTCAGTAACGATCTTTTAGCAATGTACAGATAATGAAATTTGTGGTCTAACCTTATGGGAAATATTCAGGTCACTTAAATAAAAGAAGGGCCTTCTTGCTGCTTAGAATAATTTTACACTGATTCTTTAGTGTTTCTTTCCTCCAACAGGAGATTCTGTTGCTTTGGAAATAAATGTATAAAGAATCACGAATCAATGTATAAAGAATCGAGCTTAGATGCTGAATTTGTAGCTACTACAGATGCAAACTGAAACCAAATCCACTTGCATCGTGATGGATCTGTTAAATACAAAAGCACTAAAAACCCCCCACAGTGGTTTCCAAGTATTTGGGCAAGTTTCTTGCTAGAATGAAATGCAGCTACTAATAGAGTTATTCTAATTTCTAGCCAGACCTCTAATGTTTTCCCTCTAGTTCTTAGAGCATGCATTCCATTCAGAGAGGCTTGCAAACTGTTTTGCCTTTCTTACACTTCCTAAAGCTGAGTTAGCTTGTTAATGAAACTGTTACTCTGGAATTTCCTCTTTGGCTATAAATAAAACCTTTAGAAAATAGATCCTTTTTCCTGTAATCAAAACGTAGCAATTGGAATGCTGCAAAAATTTGGTTTGAAGACAAGCAATGGTGAACCAATAAATTTTTATTAGCACAAAGACTTTGTATATGAGAACTATTTACTCATTCCATCCCTGCCTGACTACTGCTCTGGTAAGGAAAAAATAGATGCTGAGATCAGTAATCCCAAATGTGTTCGATAGTAAATTCACCACTCACTTTTCCTTCTGAGGCAGCCTTTAATACTTGTGTTACACATGAGGGTTGTGCAAGAGATCCTTGCATATTGCAAATACACATTCACGTACATTGTTAAGTACAATCAGAAATCTCTATATCAAACATTAGATAAACATTAAATGATCAAAGTGATGATTAAAACACATTTTGAGGGGTTTTTATAAATACAGCAGACATACAAAACCAAATTACAGCTTAGTCTGATGCCTAATGGCTTTGGAGTTTCAGCTCCTTTACAGAAAATAATGCAAGGTCATTTTGCATTTAGGTAACTTAAAACCAGTAACTGAAATGAATCACTTTTTTGATTGCTAATGTATTTTTTAGGAAGTCTGCTAATTAGCTCTGGGTCCATAAACATACAAGGGAGTACTTGATGAAATGAACAATTTACATGTTTCTGGCTAGTTGATAGCGTCATTACAGGCTCAGTTCTTCGGAGCTATAGTCATCTTGGGCATTTCAAGTGAAAGATGTTTTGTGGCGTTGCTGTAAAAGTGATTGTGGCAACTTGGGAGGCAAATTGTGCTTTAAGATAGTGCACTTGTACTTCATCTTTTAGGAACGGTGTAGCATTTCAATTCATTTTCCACCTCCCTTTGCCCTTATTTTTTCCTTAGTTAGAATTCGTTAGAACAACAGGGTACTCGTTAAGATCCAGATGGTGTCCCTGCTTCATTTACTCGTTAGAGTGACGGTTTAGTACCAGCAAGAATGTACATGAAGATTCTTTCAAAATACATCATCTGAATTCAGTGTTGGAATGATGTTAGGTATTTAAAATGAAAGTTGGACTCTTCATCTGTCTTTTTGATCCCTATATGTCTACTGTTCTCTTGTTAGCTGAATAAAAATAAAACTGTGGACAAAGAGGTGGGATACAGTATTCCGCCTGTGAAGGAGTAATACTTTTGTATTATCTCAAGCTACATTGGATAGTTTCTATTTTGTGGTGTACTAGCAGGAAGCACCTGGAAAATCAATTGCAGAAGTCTATAGGTCCAGAAAGTGAGACATAGCCTGTTAAAGAATGATTTTTATTTCCAAACTGAATGATCCATGACTTTTTTTTTTTACACCACACTCAAATATTTTCCTAATATCTATGTGTTACTGTGCTGAGAAAAAATCCTGTGTGTTTTAGTGTTCAGAATTTGCAATAATGCATATAAGAACATTTTACTGTGATATTTTCAAATGATAGTTTCAAAATTACCAAAATGTGAATCTTTGATCTACAGTAACTAAATTTAGTACTGAAATGTCACATGAAATAGAGCCTGGAAGAAAGAGAAGGAACTTCGCTGTAACCTTGGCTGTCTGAATGAATTTACTCTGTACATGTCTTTTTATAAGGCTTTATCACGTCCTGAACATCCTTTTGAATTTTGTTCTCTTTAAGCAGAAGAATACATTCAGTGAATTTATAGAGTTAACAACATGCAGTTTATTCACAAAGAACAACATTTATGGTGGTCCATATTTACAAAAGGTGTTAATTCAGGGTATTCTTGACAAATAGGAAAACCACGTGTATATTTGATACAGCTTTTTAAGAGGAAAGCGATTTGCTCTATCTCTTGCCACAAACCATACCTGCAGGATTTCCAAAAAAAAAAAAAAATGTTTCTACATGGAATATGAACGTATAAACATAGAAGGAATGGCGTAATTAGATGCTCTGGTATCCTCTCCCATATTAGTTTCCCATGCTTTACTGAGCATTCTTCTTAATATGTGTGTGTTTATCAGTCTTGGTTTAAGCTGAAACCAGTGTTTCTCTTATTTCTTAGCCATCCGATGAAGACACTGTCAGCTTTAATGTTCCAATGTCGGACATCATGGAAGAAGATCAGGTTGTAAAGGAAGATTCAGGTCACCATGCTAACTCAAGAAAAGGTTGGAATGTAAAAGAGGTGGAAGTTAAATACAGGGAAATTCTGTTGATTATTATATGTGTAAGGCTGTAAATTCAGTTTGTAAAAATGACACCCTAAGAAGCATCAGTCTTTCAGGAGTCTACAAACATCATCTTTAAATTTGTTCCATTTTATTTACTGATATTTTTCCTTGGAATTTTAGGTGTTTAATTTTGCGTGGGATAAATGCCTTATTAAATTGATTTTTCTTGATGATTTTCTAGTTGAACATCAGGTATATTCACTACACTGTGCGTTTTAATTTTTTTGTAATAAATGCCTGCATCCCCAAAGGCTTTGAGCATGCATATGCAGTCATGTTAAAAAAAAAAAAAAAAAAAGTTCTACTTAGAGCATTTTTAACTCTGCTTAATTGAGGTCCTTATAGTCATTTTCCATAGCAACTCCAACGAAGTTGTTCCACCTTGTCGCAAGAGTTAGTAAGTTCTGGTTCTGACTGAGGGGAGAAAAGTGAGAATCAGTTTAAACCTTTCTTCCCAACCGGTAATATCAATGCGTAATAACTTGTACCAAGTGATAACCCAGATTCTGAGTTAGTAATGTACAGAAGCAGAGTCCATTTCTGTAGCTGGACTTAATGCATATAAAAAGCTTTATTAATCAAAGTCGGTGTTACCTCTGGAAAGAAGTAAATCTCTTCAGAATTTGAGAGAAGGTATAATTTTATCTAAATTTTATTGAAGTAACTTATTTTTCTAAATTATATCTACATGCTGATAAACAATGTTTCTCCAACATTTGCACATGCTAATGGTAAATGGCAGGATGAAGCCAGTGAGTTGCATAAGGAAACCACCATAAACAGGAGATCAGCTTTTCCCTGTTGCTACACACTACATTAAGTGAACCTAAGTTGAGATACTCATCAGAATTTATTAGAATATGAAGTGAGGTAGTAAGAGCATTACATCCTACAGTGTTTATTAGCACATTGGAGAGGGTAAGTTATAGGATAAGACCCCATTAAACAGAGTAGAAAATTACTACTGCCCCATACCCCTGGAAGTAGTAGATGTAAGCAAGAGATTGGCCTATGCTCTGAATCATTTTGTTTGAGTTCTGCTAAGAGTTAGTGTGTTTGTTTCCAGAGTAACGACTCTGAAATTACATTAAACTGCAAGTAGGTGAGATATTTGAATGTCTTAAAATACTCTGCAGCTGTCCATCTGTGTTCTTGCACTGGTACTGGCAAGACGTACTTGGTGTGGTTCAAAACTGACTCCATCAATGCCTGTTGTGGTGCCTCTGATCTACAACTGTATGAGCCCAGGGTATTGATTTATTGCAACTTCAAAATCAGTTGACATACCTCATGAAAATGCAGAAGTCTTTGCTGATTTGAAGGTTTGAATATGCTTTGAATGTAAACTTGGTTTGGTTTTGAGCTTTATAATTTAATACTATTAAATTATGTTGAGTAACAAATGTTGACCTGAACCAGAAATCATTCTTCTATCTTTTTTTACTGTCATTATTAGTGGAATTCCATCAGGGATCTTCTCACTTGATTGTCAATGATAAGTCAAGAGAAACAGGAAACCAGTTTGATGAATCGGATACTCTTACTACTGAATTTATGAGTTACATTAAGGCAAGTTTGTGACAATTTTAAGGGGGGGGGAGAGGGATATCTTCACTACTTTAATAAGTATAGTGCGAACAGGAATGACAGACTGAAGATGTTTTAAATAGGAGACCGCAATTGATATTCATTGTTGTAAAAGATACAGAAGGCAGAAATAAGCAGTTAGGTTTAAAGCGATGATAATTAATCTAGGAAGTTAATTTACCCATAACTCTCTAGTATATGTGAGAGTTATCTTTTAATTATGTTTAAGGCTTTAAAAACACTGGCAAGTACGTGCTCTATGATACACTTTATATTTTGAATTGAGCAATTTTTGCATTTGTTACTGAAAGTCGTCTTGGAATTTACTCATGTGTTAGCTGTGGTGGCTGAAGTTGTGAAATAACATTACAGTATTGAAAGACTTTTTGTCTTGAACGTTTTAAAATTACTATAGTAGAAAAGGAGAGATCTATAAAGACAAACGACACTCATGAACTTTGTAGATGATCTAGGTGATAGGAGAGTGCTGGTTGCACTTGTCACAGGCAGTTGCTTAATCTGTTTGAAAGTATTATTCTCATCCTTCTCTCATGGTTAATGAGATGTGACTGCCTAACAGTCATGTGACGTCTTCCTGACGAGTGACTTCTTGTTGGGGAACTACCAACTGTGCTTTCTTTTCAAACTGTTCTTCGTAATGAATGACCTTTTAGAAATTGTTCTGCTGTGCCTCTTTGGTTTAAGTTGTATTTTCCCCATTTGTATTGTTATTTTTTTTTTTCTATCTGTGGCATTAGGTTTAGTGGAATATGTCCAGACTTAAGTGTCTGAGAGAGGCAGAGACATGTACTACGAATCATTAGTGATTGCTGTTGTGGGGTAACTCATGAAATTCGCTTGCTTTTTTATATAGCAAGAACTGCCTTAAGAATTTCTAAATTAAATGTACTTAGGAAGACTGAGGAGTTTTTGAAAGATTCTAGAGAAATTTTGAGCAAGCGGGTTTTCTTGCTTTGAAGAACTTGCTGGACACTTTTCCTAGATCCGTTGTAATGCAGAGATGTTTGAGAAATAGCTGTATTTTGTAGCATTCCTGTGGACATGATGTCTTCTCTTGATTTATAGGCCAGAAGGGATTATCTAGTATGGGTTTTTTTCGACTTTTTCTCCTTCTGTGGAGATTCTTAAGGGTGCAAAGAGGTATTGCATCACTTCTATCCTTTATAGGAAAAAAAGTGCTGGGGAGTAATAGTGGAAAGAGAAAGGATGTTGCCTTTCAGCTTCTTGGAAACAGACTGCTGGTTCTGTAAAAGATCTCTTTATCTGAGCAACCTTTTTGTTTTTTTCTAGCAACAAAACTCTTGCAGATCATCTTGAGCTAGTTGCAGTCTGAGGTGGCAGACACAGAGGATTGGCATTTAAAAACAATGGGGGGAAAAAAACAACAAACTTTTCCCTTTTGTAGTTACTGAAGACATGTAGTTAAGAGAGAACTTTACTTACACAGAAAATTCATGTTGCTTATTTTTTGTTATTTACAAATACAAATGTGAATTCTGTAGAGTTGATTATTATGGAAGTTATTTATGGATGCTGGATGTTTAGGACACTATAGGTTGCCTTATATTGACTTGTTCTTCTGTGACTCTTATACTAAAAAATGATTGAGGGATTTTTCAAGATAATTAAAATGCTATTATTAGTAGTATTTCATGATAGTTAATATTAACAAATGATTGTAGGTTTCCTGCATACAGATTTTCAGCAAGTGCACACGTTTGAGGTGAACGAGCTAGGTAAAAGGGGATAGAACACTTTCATCCTCCCCTGACAAAGGGGTACACACATCTGAAGCTGACTGTACATTATATTGTGTTTATACTTTGTATTTCCTTTCCTTGTTCTTCTCACTTCATCATCTTGATTTTCAGTAGTGTACCATTTGAAGACTTGGAAATGCCTTCTGTCATCATAATATTAGCTGAAATAACATGTTGCAGACAGTGGTTCACTAAAACACAGGTTACTTTATTGAATGTCAGTAGAAGAATATTGCTAAAGCATATTTAGAGTTTAATTTATTTTAATTTTGACATCTTCTTAACGTTATGGCAGTTGAGATCAGCAGTTGGTAACTTGAACAGGTACCATGTTCATTTCAACCTGAGGATTTTGAACTCAGGGCCCCTTCTTTCTTGTGCAGATTTCCGAGTCTGTTGTGTTCTTTGGTTTAGGTTTAGTCATGTACTAGATGCCTTCTGGGACACAGGGGGTCTTCTAAAATTGAAATTCTGGTTAACCAAAGCATATCTAAAATAAGTACAGCCTGCAGTGCAAGAGAGGACCTTAGGCTTGCAGGATTTTGTAATTTTTCAAATGTTAGTCCTAATTTATTTGGCTTTATTTATCTTATCTATATAAATATACCCAGAGACTGAGGATCACCCTCTAGAATAAACATTGCAGTTTTGTCATCTTATGATATGTGCCTTTTTTATGGGAAAAATCAAGTAATTAATTCCTGTAAGAAGGAAAGTAAAGACTGGCTTTGTGCATTGGAACAGGCCATCTTTGGGTAATGTTAGAGAAGCTGGTTCACTCTTCAGTGACACATCTGGCAGACTTGAATAGCATTTATTGGTACAGAGTGATGCGACTGATGTGCCAAATATGACTCAAAAGAGGATAAGCCTCTCTTTTCTGCTGTTCATTCTCTGCTAGCACAAGTGCACGTCCATTCAGAGAGCCTTCTGTCTTTACTGGCAGCTGAACTGCAGTGTTCCTGCCTGTCTGAGGTGAAGGAGAAAAGAAAGTTGCAAAGCACCAAATGGAAGCATAAAAGAGGCAATCAAGTTTTCTAATAAGTAGCACTCCATAGTTACAGGTAGGACAGTGAGGGCTCTCGTTTACGCCTACATTGTACCCAAAATAACCGGTTGACTGAATTGTTGTATGCAGATTTTATTCTGATTTGTTTTAAAAAAAAAATTATTCAGGGCTGTTAAAATTGTCAAGTAGCAATCCTGTTAATAATTATGGATGAAGTACATAATTGCTACTGTTTGCATATTTGGAATTTCCTTGCTCTGTAAACAAATCTGGCTGTGGGAGGAGAGCAAGTAGGAGGTGAGTTAGGGTCGTGCTTAATTGAAGCATTGTTTGCATATACCACAAAAGCATAAATGAAATCTACAGTGTAGAATAAAGGATTCTCATGCTGCTTGACTTTCTTCTAACAGTTAAAGGAGGGTAAGGGCTGTTGACCTCAATTAAATCTGAACAGTGAATAGAAGGTCTTGTAATCAGTATTGCTCTACTAAGGGAATAGAGTGAGGAGTGGAGCAGAAGCACTGAATTGCTTCAACTAGCCACCCTAAACTGTTACGTAAATTAGGTCAGAGCTGAGTCTGAAGCAAAATTTATCTGCCTACTTAACTGCAAAGTTCAGTTCTCAGTATCACTTTGTCTACAGAGCAGAGCAGCGGAGTGTGATGAATTATTGAGGATAGAAGAGGACACACAATGGCAAACAGACGAAATGTAAGTATTTTTTATGTGTCTATAAGTAATTAGCTGTGTCACTTCCTTAGTCTGACCAGAACTGGCATTTCCTTACGGTTAATGATTTTGTAGACTTGGAGGCATGACAGCAGCACAGACTTGCACTTCATGTGCTCTTAAGTTTTATACATTATTGTGGAATAAAATGGATGTTATATTACAACTAAATAATTTGTATGCACCAATAATGCTGTCATATTTTTACCTATGTAGAGTGCAAGCTTTTTAATTAAGTATTTTGATATTTAGTGTGTTAATGGCATCGGTAAGAAAGGATTTCATGAAAACTTGTAGGATCTAAATTTAATGTACGTGTTAAAAAGTGTAATTTAGTTGGAAAAAATCCCTCAATCTTTTTTGCTTCTTTTGTCATAATTTTAACCCTGAAGCAGTCATTAATTCATAGACGTTAATTCAAGAGCAGGGCAAGTGAACATCAGTTGCTGAGGGCATTTAGCATGACTGTGGTCACTCCCAGAATAGCGGAGTCTTACACGATTTAAAAACCAAAACTGAAGGAAGGGAAGAATAGGTACTTTCTGAAGGAGCCTTATTGGCAGAACTAACAGGTAATTATGTTTCTAAACCCCAAAAAGAATTGCACATGTGGAAAAGCAAAAGAAGGCATGCTGGTCTTTTTAAAAGAATCGTCGTATTTTGTACTTGTGTTAAAACAGTACATGTGATGTGTGGAGTTAATGTCAAATAGATTCATTTTCAGTTTTAATTCATTTTCATTTTCAGTAAATTCATTTTCAGTTTTAGAAGTCTGTTTGATTAAACACCAAAAGTTCATCTCATTTCTTTATGTGTCTTTGTCCTTCACAAAGCCCCTCAGCGTAAGTGCTGGAGATTTTTTTCAGAAGAAAGTTCCTTTAATTCAGCACATACGAGTGTGCACGGAGGCCGGTTTTTTTCCCCCCTATAGTGTTTGCATGCCAGTTGGAAGACACAGACACAGCTCATAAATTTCAGACTACCCTTGATAATTGTTGTAACACGTCTTTTTTTGAATGCTTTTGTTTTCTGTTATAGAATAAATTTATCAGAAGAACAAACTATTGATATAACAATGATAGAACAACTAAGAGAAGCAGTAGATTTATTACAAGATCCCAGCAGGTATGCTTACACTAGCTGATGTGTTAATGTATTTAAAATTCTTGTAAATTACTTCAGAGCTCTTTTTTAACTAAGTTCTCTCAAGTTATGCAGGGCTTTGTTAACATATTGATGTTTTTCAGGAGGAGCTCACATAGTTAAGAAGGAAACCTGCATTCTGTCCCTAGACAAGATTCCCAGTAAATAAAGGATTTCAAGTTTAAAAGAAACCTAAATTTAGAGGTGGAGACACCTCCTAACCATTCATTTAGTGTACACTACTGTGATTTTCTGAAGTTTTGTCTAGGATAGTCTAACTTTTTCTAGGGACTGTAAACTCTCCTCTACTTATTAATGCTTGATGTATCATGTGGGGATTGGAGAAGGTCTTTGGACCAGCTTCATCCCACCTCAGTGCAGCACATAAATCAGGTGCCTGAATTAGTGGTCGAGTTTCTGTAGTGTCCCTCTAAAAAAGAGAAAGAGGAAGAGGCAGCTAGAGAAAGCTATTTAGAGTTCCCATGACTACAGAAGGCGAGGCCTTATAATTTAGGTGCCTGTTTTAAGTGGCTGAAGTCAAGTGGAATGACTCCAGATCTGTGAATAAACAAAAGAATAAGTATGTTAAAGAAGATAAATGCTTGTCCTACTAAAAAAGACTGACAAGAGTGGTGTAGCTAGTTCTGTCCAGATGCCTTCTGTTGCCTTTTTTTTTTTTTTGTGTAACCAGCTTCAGAAATTAAGTTAATTTCAAAACCAGGTAACTCATCTTTCTACATTACTTCTATGAGTTAACTGGTTGAAAGCTTGCTTTCTCTTAAGACTAGAAACCTCCTTTTCACTTCCAGCCTAAAGTATCCTTGTTTCTTCTTCCTCCCTTGGCTAGTTCACTGTAGCTGTTTGTTCTTGCAAATACACTGTTATTTAGTTTAAATGCCTATTTTGATACGGCTTTTTTGCCGAGCAGACCTTTGTACTTTTTAGGGCAGAAAGTCACTCCTGTTAGTATTTCTAGACTCACAACTATCTGGCTTCATTTTGAATCATATAAAGAATACTTGAATTTTTGAATTGTACACTAAATACTTGAATCACAAGTATTTTTGCTTACTAAAGTAATTCAAATTAGGAAAGCTTTTTAGTTTCTGTGGGATAGTATACCATTGCTTCTCCACCTCATATGGGGCTTATTACTTTGTGGGAGAGGTGTTGCAATTAAAGGAAAAAGTCTGGTTTGGAAAAAAAACCAAACACATTAAAAAAGTTTGTTGTTAGTCTTAAAAATTTTGTCCTTTTTTGTCAAATACTGCCCCAGTATTTCCTATAGATTTGGGTTTTCTTATTAAATTCAAAAGGGCAATAAAATATAGAAACTTAACCTGTTTCTCCATGCGTATTCAGATGTGCTTTCATTAGTAATACTACATTAAATTTGAAATGTGGCTTTTAAAAGTGGCTAATCATGTCATGCATGTCTGTATTTTTCTACTGGTTTTTTTTTTACATTGAATGGTATTTTTTGGAGTTTTTTTGGGGTCTTGTGGGTGCACTTTCTTTTTTTTAACCTTAAAATATGAGTATTTATTTTTAATTTACTGAGTGCTATATACGCTTTTCAATGTATGCCTCCTGTATGTTAACATACAGCCTTACCCAGCAAGATACACCTGAGTGCCTAATACTTGCCAAATGATGCCTCAGACTTTCAATCCTCTGGGCCCTGTGTTCCAAATCATTGCTTTTGTAATTACTGGATTACATGGCAGCTTTATATATACTTGCATTATTTAGAGCAGTGTGAGAAAATTTTGATTTTCATACTGAATAGTTTTTGTGTCTTTATCTTGATCCACAAAGGAATTTAAATGCTTCCATTACTCCTTAGTTTAAGATGCACAAAAGCCTTTGGGTGCTTTTAACTGAAACCTAGGGCACGTCAAAAATCATATCTTTCCCCAAAGAGGTTTCCATTGTGCATCAGTGTAACTCTGATCACCTAGTCAGGTTAACTGAGTTGAAATAACAAACTCTAGCCAGAGTTATCTTTAACTCACACTGAAGGCCATTTATTAGGTAGAAGCCACTACAGGGGCTGCAACAGCAGGTGATGCTGACACATCTAACATGCACTGACTAGAGTTCAGTGTTGAGCATATCAACTGGGGCTATTTTCACCAACAGATACTACTATTAAACTTGTAAAATGCTTGTCCAGTTACTGTTGTCCTAGAGTTTCGCAGAGTTTCAAATCTGCATACCCTATGTGCACATAAACAGCATCTCAGTTCTGGAAAGGAAAAAAAAAAATTCAGACTCAACCTTTTTCAGTATTCCAGATGTTTGTTTCAGATTCCCGTATTCCCTTTCCTATATTCCCTGCTTTCTTTTCTGATCACTGTCTGTTGTGAATTTATTGTTGTGCTGCTTTATTTTCATCCACTGTAAAAAAAATTTGAATATCTAATCAGGGCTGTGGCTTCTCTTTGAACACAGGGTGCTAGAAGTTGGATGTAGAAGTCTGCAGTCTTCTAGATAATGGCACAAAGCTATTGCTCAGGGTGACATTTTGCCAAGGAAAGCAGTAACGTTGCTTTGACTGAACTGATGGTAGCGAAGCATCAGCAGGCATTTAAAAAAGTTTTTAAGAGATAAGACTGAGCAGGTTAGAAACATGATTAGAAAAGTATTTCATATATCCATTTGTTTGAAATTAAGTACTGAACAGAATTGTTACCAAAGCTATACCCCAGTGCAATGTTTTTATTTCAAACCTTGCAGATTAAGCATGGATATTTCAGAGAGCAGTGGTGTGAATCTATATCCCATGGAACCAGCAACAGCTTTAGAATTTCAGGAGTCTACAGTAAAGTGTGTTTATCTACCTTTCTTTTTAGACAAAATAAAATGCATTTGTTAGATTCATCATATTCAAGTTTCTATGCAATGAATTACATATTTGCATTTGTTTATCTTTATACATAGCGGTCAAATGCAGATGGAGATGTCTTCCCTTGGTCAGGTACGTTAATGAGTGTATTATTGCAGCATATTTGGGGGGAAGACAGGAAATGAGCCAACAATTTAATCAATTATTAATCTACCAAGTAGGGAGTAGGTTGGAGGATAAAACTAATTGTTCTTTAACATTTTTATGGAATTTTTTAATTCTTTATATGTGCATATGTAATTTTTTTTTCTAGGTTTATCAGTTATTTTTCATCTTAAGCTTTTTTTTTTTCCCTGTGTGCAGCTTTGAAGTGTGCCAGTTCATAGCTCAGCTACGCATACCCATCTACCATCTCAGCCCCCTATCTCCCTGATTTGTGTAGGAAAACAGTACATACATTAAAGGATAACACAAAAATATTTTGTAAACTTAAAATTCACGTTTTACCAGAGCCCTGTCACTATAGCTACAGTGTATATAAAGTACGATTTGGAGTTTTACATTGGGACATATGCTGCTTATTATTTGATCTGTATCCTGCTGGTGAACTGGAATTCTTTGTGACGTGCTTTGTTTAGATTTACATTATCTACCTATTAGCACTGAAACTGCAAGTATATAGTATCTGCTTACATCTTTGTTCACTTTTCATCACAGTATTTGTAGGAAATACTTCTGAGGTAGTGTTATGCAAAGAAAGATATAGTTCTGTTTCCGGTGATACACAATCTAAAGAGTTACTTATCTTGCAGAGAGAAAATGCTGAAGAAGAACTAGAATTTCAGAGGAGGAGGGGGTTGATTATGGAGAAAACAAAGCCCGAAATGAGAACTTGTGAACAGGGTGAAAAATGGTCGTTGAGTCAGGTATGGAGGTGTCTAGATGCTCTAAGTGTGGAAACATGTGGAATGGATCATTGCATTCTGTCAGTTTGTGTGTGGAGATAATAGTGGGTTTAGGCCTGTTGTGGTTGGGTTTCTTGCCTTAGCCTGGATCTCAAGGTTTGGCTGTAAATGGGAAGTTGATTAAGACCCATGTCTCAGGAAAAAAATGATATAATGAAATTAATAAAACTCTCTACATTGTAGTAGTTGTAGTGGTTGCATTCCCCTAGAAAAAATAAGTTGCCCCTAAGTTAGATCTTCAGTAAAATAGAACAGCTGATTCCTTTTCCCCCTCATACCAAATACTCTTAGAATCACAGAATGGTTTGGGTTGGAAGGGACCTTAAAGACCATCTAGTTCCAACCCCCCTGCCATGGGCAGGGACACCTTCCACTAGACCAGGTTGCTCAAAGCCTCATCCAGCCTGGCCTTGAACACTCCCAGGGATGGGGCATCCACAGCTTCTCTGGGCAACCTGTTCCAGTGCCTCACCACCCTCTCCATGAAGAAGGTACTGGTACTTCAGGTACTGGAAGGTGCTATAAGGTCTCCCCGGAGCCTTCTCTTCTCTGTTGTGAGAGAGAGCAGAGCTGCAGCGATAGGCATAACCAGCAGGTCTGTCAGAAGAACATAGGCCCTGAGCACAGGAGTGCTCAAGCATGTGAGACCGCAGGTAGAACTGGCTGGGGTCAGGTGAATAAGGTTTTTTCCTGTTTATTCTAGGTATTACAGTGGTTGAGATAATATGAAAGTTGTCTAAAGCTGAAGAATTTTTGTAAGCTTGAAAAGTAGCCAAGAAAGGTCATGAAGCAATATGGGTGTGTAGTCTTAGTCTTCCTTCCCATCTTGCTGACATTTTGGAAAGCTCAGTGACTGTTGGGACTAAGTGTTCCTAGTGCTGTCTTTTATTTTTGTTTCTGTTTTTTTTTTTATCAATTAAAAAAAAGTTGACCCTAAGGAAATGATTTTGAGTTGAATTGTAATTTGGTTTTGCTTATGCTGGCTCTGGTTTTGCTGATGAGTTATGAGTGATACAGAATTAATGATTGAATTTCAATTTTGTTAATGTGATTTACATGTTTCCAATCTAACTATAGTAGAACTGGTAACAGAAGGTATGTTATATTGCAGTTATAAAATGAGCTGCTTACGGAATGCTTCTGTTTCCATATCCATATTAAAAATCTGGAAACGATTTTTAAAATCGATAAAAATCATACGAAACTCAGTGATAGTTTCATTGCAAAATCTGAAACAAAATTGGGCACTGCATGTGAACTAAGAAACATTAAAATATTATAAAGGCAGTTATAATCACTTAGGATTGAAGCTGAAAAACTAATCACAAATCTGCAAATAATTTCCGCAAGTGTTCTTTAAATTGTTGTTCAACTAGCAATAACAGTATTTATTATTCATGAAAATTAATTGTTTCTGTGAAAAAATAATTAAGTATTAATGTGCACCTGAATACCATGAGTGAAATATTCTTTTGTGGTATATCACTAATACAGTTAGTGAAATGGTCTTTTTTTTTTCCCCCAAACATGTAGAATGATATAATTGTTTGGAATACAAGTGGGCAAACCTCTCACAATGAGGTAAGATGTTGGTACCATTTGTTTTCTCTTACATGTTATATACGAATGGTTCATACACTGAATGAAACATGAGGTTAAATATCACAGAAAATATGACTGAGTTCACCAGTAATGGCTTTGTTATGGTATATTTGGCTTGTTTATTTTATACTCTAGTATAAAGTATAACAAGATACTTTCTGATAAGCATGTTAGTTATGCAGTTTAGCATAAAACGTTAATTTATTTTTACATTTTATAAAATTTACATTTGTAAAATGCACATTTTCCTTTTTTTGATTCTTCCTTGTTCCACAACAGTTTCTGTTGACTTCAATGAAATTTCTTTTTTAAAAGTTGTCATGCCCTTGATTAATTTTCAGAGAGGAGTCTGATTTTATTGATCCCATCACTGTCACAGTGTAAATCTCAGCAGAAGGTCAAAAAGGTTAACTGTAGGAAGCTCCTTATGGAGATATTTTTTTTCCCCCTTCATGTTTTCTGTGAAGGAATAGCACTTTTCACTCCGCATTGCACTATGTATAAGCATCTTGCAAATTCATGAACACCCAGCCACCTTCCACCAGTCTTAGTGATGGAACTTTTATCGTTCCTGGCTCCCTGAGGAATCATTTTTTTAAACAGGATTCCCATTATGGAGTTTGGTTATAGGACTCTTCCTGTGTTATCATTGGTGGTATGATTATCCACACCTTCTCCCCGAATGTTGCTACTCCATCTTATCTGCTGCAACTGTTAGCCTAGTTTCAGACTCAAGGGCAATCCTGCTCGGAGGTGTATGCATAACTTCCTCTTTTCTGCTTTTTAGACAGAAATTGAGTGTTTCATGAAAAGTACCATGAAGAAGGGTAATTAATTCTGTGAAAGACACAAATGCATCTATGGAAAAAATGTCTTTCCTTTGTTTTTCTAAATGTACTATGCCACACAAATCTATGTTTGATGGAACCAGGTGATTACATAGGAGAAAACTAGGAAATAACAGAGCTTCTTTTTAGCTGGGGAGAGTTTCTTGCTGTCTTTGGTCAGAAACTCATCTTTTCCAGCAAAGGAATGAAAAAGTGAGATTATTGTAGGTTTGAGGCTATATTGTGATCAGATTATGGTGGAGTAGTAGTGTGCGGTATCGTTAATTTCTGTATTTTATACAGTCAGTTGTGCTGAGGTACTCTGGATGTTGCTCTTACTTAGATTTATGTTCTTGAATTACACAGAACAAGGATAAGAGTCCGACAATGTCTCCTACTACAAACGCCACAAGCCCTTTTGGCCTGAAGCCACGATCAGGTAATGTGGGAAAGAAAATGAACCAATTTGTGTGTCCTTCTTTTTTTTACATCTGTGTTATTAAGGGAAAAAATCAAGACATCTATTAAGAAGGCAGTGATGAAACATTTTCTATGCAACAGTTAGAAGAAGATTAGAACATTTTAAGGCTATATGTTTGAATCAAGATTGATTTTGTAACAAGTAAGTATTTGGCACGTTATATATGGATCAGTTTTCATCACTTCATAATAAATTAGGTGTTTTATGAAATTATATGTATGTTTAAAAAATGTGTGTATATAAATACACGTATTTTATATGTGTATACATATATCTCATCTATGCTGACACAGTAATTGCGATACGATTTTTGCCTAATTGGTAAGTAGTGATACAGTTTAGATTTTGTTGAATAATTTATGTGAATAATTAGGCTTGTTTGGAAAACGCTTATGCATTGCTCTGAGAATTGCTCATGGCAATGAGTCTTTCAGTAGTTATTCTTGTGTAAGGATCAAGCGTTATAGGAAGAGTAGATGTTTACTTCAGCCAGCAGCTGAGTTTAATGAATTTGCAATGAATTAAATCTGCATAACCAGCAATCTTTTAACAAGCAGCAGTTTGTTTAAAAAAAACAAAACAAAACAAAACCCCCAAACCAACCACAAAAGGAAACCAAAAAAACCACCCATTGATGCATTTGAGGGCTTGAATAGCAACATCCTTTAAAAACAGGCTTAGCTACAGGAGTAAACTCTGTTTTTATCTTCTCCATGCTGAGGTAGCTAGTAGTGTTAAGTCATCTTGCATCACCTCTGAAGAGTAACCGTAGCTTTTTCAGGATGTTTCAGTGTCCTAAGACTAATTCGGATTTCTCACGCTCACCACAAGTGCTTTTAATCAAATGCTGGTAAACCATGACAAACTTGTAGTTTCCATAACACAGTATGTTGGCAATAATGGCAGCAGTTTCACAATTGAATTTTTAAGAACTTGTACCCATAGATTTGACTTTTTTTAAAGAAAGTTTTAAAAAGCAAAGAAAATGGTGTTGAACCAACCTTGTTTCATCAAGAGTATATTTTAAATTTCTCATATAGTTATGATACACAGTTTGACAGATCTGTTCAGTTGCATTTCTTAGTTGGTTGGACTGTTAAACTCCTCCTCTTCTTGTATGTTCCTGATGCTTTAGAGGTGTTGTTAGTTCTCTATATATTTAAAGTACAGGTTAAATGATGAGCAGATGGGTCCTTAATAAAACACTGAGTAGTATTGCACAGTCCAATGGCAGCATTGTGATAACACTGTTAGGAGAAGGACTTGTGAAAGCAAACAGGCCCATGCCATGTTGCTCCTTTCATGGGATGTAGCCTGTGTTCTACTGAGCTGCCAGTGGAATCTGGGGACTGGAGGCAGCCTTGTGAGAGAGAATGCAAGCCTGTGACTTCTTGTTCAAGTGTTGGCTTAATGTGAGCTTCCGAATCTTGGTATGTCAGTGTGCCAAGATCATAGAATCACAGAATGGTTTGGGTTGGAAGGAGCCTTAAAGATCATCTAGTTCCAACCCCCCTGCCATGGGCAGGGACACCTTCCACTAGACCAGGTTGCTCAAAGCCGCATCCAGCCTGGCCTTGAACACTCCCAGGAATGGGGCATCCACAGCTTCTCTGGGCGACCTGTTCCAGTGCCTCACCACCCTCTCTGGGAAGAATTTCTTCCTGATATCTAATCTAAACCTCCCCATTTTCAATTTAAACCCGTTACCCCTTGTCCTGTCACTACAGGCCCTTGTAAAAAGTCCCCCCCAGCTTCTTTGTAGCCCCTTCAGGTACTAGAAGGTGCTATAAGGTCTCCCTGGAGCCTTCTCTTCTCCAGGCTGAACAAGCTCAACTCTCTCAGCCTGTCCCCATAGCAGAGGTGCTCCAGCCCTCTGAGCATCTTCATGGCCTCCCCTGGACTTGCTCCAACCAGTCTATGTCCTTCTGATGTTGTGGGTTCCACAGCTGGACACAGTACTCCAGGTGGGGTCTCATAACAGCAGATTGTCTTATAATTAATGATTATAAAAGGTCAGGGCAAAAATAGCGTAGTGAATCTTTTCACAGAGGATTCCCAGGAAGACTGGATTGCAGTGGTCGCAGTCCTTTGCAAAAAATCCTCCAAGTCACGTGATGGAAGACCAGACGTCCTACAGTTCTTCCCCTGTCTTTACTGAAGCTGTGTATAGCCCCATTTAAGTACCAAAATCAGTTATAATGTTAATTTTCTGCAGCGTCCCAATTCAAATTCATATATTTGAATCTCTTTGAGTATGCCAGCGGGTTGCAGAAAACTTGATAATCTGAATTTATTTTCCTTTCCATATCGTATACTACATAGTCACCAACCTAGAGCCATTACTGCACTATTTTACACCTCATCACATCCAGTTTGTCATGTTACCTTAGATTCATACTACAGTAAGACAAGGGAATTTGGCAATCATAAAACTTTAGGTCCAACTTCAGATAAAAAGACATTATATTGGCTAGGTAGCACAATGTAACAAAATTAAACCTTGCAAAGGGGTAGTGAAGTAGTAGTGAAGCTGGATATTGTTTCCTCTCCTGCTCCCACCCTAGGGTTACTCTAAAAGTAGTATTAAAATTTGTTTTGTCAGTGCATCAGAATAATTTACAGATAGTAGTAGTACATGACTGAAAATACTGGCGTCTTGGTGAATCCTACATGATTTTCCTGTTAAAGCTGGTTGGCTTCCCATATCTCTAGTTTCTCCACTGTATTTCCTTTATAACTTTGTGCAAGTTTTGTGTGAGTTTGAACCATCCTATCACTGTCTGAATTTGTGCTTGTTAATTATATGCTGCTTTATTGCTCTAGAGCTGAGCTAGTCTTGGAGTCCAGCAATTCCATGATCCAAGGAAGTTTTTGAGCTCAGTTTATAGCTTATTTTAAGAGCTGCTTTCCCCCCCCAATTAAGTTCTTCCTGGCCTTAGGGGAAACCTTGAAACTCATTGGAAATGAGTTTTAGCTATTTAACTTCATTAGAGTTTAAATTTGAATTACTTGCTTCTATAAATCTTTTGAATCTGAGTGCAAGGCTAAAAGAACATTAAAATATTCTAACTAAAATGTGTACATCATGCACTGTGGAAAAAATAGTGACAAATTTTCAGTGGAAATGCATGCAACCATACCTTTCTGAAATTTGAGAGTTTATTTGCACTGTGTTTATTTTCATCCACTTTAAATGAATGTTGCTTTCTATTTGACGCACACACCCCACATCCCCCCCCTTAATTCTTAATTTCATAAGGATTTATGTCTCTTGGAAGGGTGAAAGTAAACAGTCTTAGACTTCTAGTAAGGATTCCATTTTTTTGAAGTATACACACAAATGGAAGTGTTTCCAGAGGATAAACCACAGTGGCTTAAACTTCTGGGTTAGTACATACGGGTATGTGTTCAGGACTGAAGGTCCTTTTATTCTTTCATTTTGAAGCTAGGCAAAACATTGGAAAAATTTATATCTGGTGGCTGACATGGTCCCCAAACAAAATATTTTGGAAGGCGATGAATGTGTTTTGACTTCTTGACAGATTCTTTTCAAGGGTTAGATGTTTACATAAAAGGTCAAAAGAGAGATTTTTAATTTTTCAGAATATTTCCTGCTGTATTTCAAGTGCTTTCGTAGAGTGTGGGCTTCTCAAATTCACATTAACTTTGAAAACCTAAAAAAATTACTACAGAAAAGAACCAACAACCACGTTTTCTTAGAACCATAGGTTTGCTCTTGGAAAGTGCCTTTGCTCTCTAAAAAGGAATCACTCAAAATAGTCAATTCATGAATCAAGCACAGGGAGTTTAAATTTATTAACTAAAATGTTTCGAGTGGTGCTGATTGTCAGAACAGAGTGTTGCAAAGTTCTTGTCACAGTATCATTACTGTGCAACAGCTTGAAGCCTGAACATATACTACCTGTCTTGCGGTACTCACAGATATTTTTCTGCTGTTGTCCTCTGTCACTTTGAGGTCATAGTTTCTTCTGATGGCAGCACAGAGAAACAAACAAAATAATTGTAGCTTCAGAGGCTAGAAGAAGCACTGACAAAACTCCAAATCACACAGCAGTTTGTGTTGTGAAATGAAAAGTTGTTCCCTTGCAGCTGTTTGCTTAGCGTTATCTTAGGTGGGAATCCAGTGTCTTCATTTTGGTGACTTGCAGGGGATTTGAAGCACGATGTTAGTATCTGTGGATGTGTCTGCCTCCCTCCCTTTCAAATTCCAAGTTTGCTGGCACACCTAATGATCGTTAGAACTTGGCAGTATTTTTCCCTCTCTTGAGTGCTAGTTACTGGGTTTCTAATCTCTGGATATTTATTCCTTTCATACTTTTTTCTTCCCTAACTGCTTTATCCATATACTTTGGAAAATAATGAGAATCCTAATTGCCAGCATAATTAAAGACTGTTTTTCTTATGCCATAAATCTGTAATCTGTTACCCAGTGTTGACTCTGCTCAGAGGTTAAGTTGTCCTGACTCAGGTGCAGCTGATCTGGTGTCCCAACAGCCAAAAGCAGTAGACTGGCTTTGGAAAAGGCATCGCCAAAGAGAGCGAGCCCTTGAAGGGTTGAATGTGAAGAGAAGTTTAAGGTGAAGTTTTATACAACACTGTTAGAATTATCATGTGTCCCTGCCCATGGCAGGGGGGTTGGAACTAGATGATCTTTAAGGTCCCTTCCAACACTAACCATTCTATGATTCTATGATCATCATTTTTATACAGACTCCAGGATTGTGGGAAGGAGAAAGTCTGTGTGATTAAGGTCCTTGTGATTATTAATTTGAAATGGTATAAAATAGGGACTTTCTGTGCTTACTGACACTTTACCTTGGACTTTCTTTGATCTACGTGGAAATTTAAAATTTATTTAGGGTTATGGTTCAGCATTTAGAGTAGTTTATAATCTCCAGTTTAGTTTGAGGAGCATGATGTTACTTGTGTGTGGGATTCAGTAGATAACACCTGGAAATATATGTAGGAAACCAAGAAATGAGTGATTCATCATTTTTCTGGCAGAAGTGGTAAGGAACACTGTGATCAGATACAGGAAAAACTCATTAAGGAATGACATTGTTACAGAGAACAGAGGAGAGAATCCAAGGGGTGATGTAGTTGCTGCTTATCAAAATCATAGAATCACAAAACGGTTTGGGCTGGAAGGGCCCTTAAAGACCATCTAGTTCCAACCCCCCTGCCATGGGCAGGGCCACCTTCCACTAGACCAGGTTGCTCAAAGCCTCATCCAGCCTGGCCTTGAACACTTCCAGGGATGGGACATCCACAGCTTCTCTGGGCAACCTGTTCCAGTGCCTCACCACCCTCTCCGGGAAGAACTTCTTCCTGATCTCTAATCTAAACCTCACCACTTTCACTTTAACCCCGACCCAGCTAGGAAGCTGTAATGGTTTTTTAATGTAATATTTTCATAAGGATGTGTAAATTTTCTTTCTTTGGGGGAGGAACTCTTTATTACTAGTTACAAAAAAATACCAAAATTATTATTCTCTGAACTTTTCACTGCTGAAACTTCACAACTGATCTATTTACCTTCTGATTCACAGATTTAAGGTTTTTGTTAGGTTATAATGTAAAATCTATGGGTACTTTTTCTTAAAACTTGGTTGCAAACAAGTTGTGTGGAGTGCTGTGGTTACAATGATCTTGCAATCTTAACAGCTTTAACTGCGCATAGAATGTATGATTTGCAAGTACTAACGTGTAACTCTTCATTCTCTTTATTCTGCACCATCTTTCATTCTTTTCTCAAAAATTACACATTTTATATTAATCACCTTTGAATTACATCTTTGTCATTACCATACGATCCTAATGCCATATATGAACTGCTGCTGCCCCTTTTTATCCCCCCACCTCTGGTCCTTACGCCACCGTGGTTGGACTGGCTATCACTCCCCTCCAGCAGACCCATCCCTCAGTCTTCCTCCTATCTCCTTCAACACACTTACGCAGGCACAAACATGGGACAACTTTAGCTACAGTATCCCATCTGAAGGAGACAGTGACAATGGTAGGTGTTCCATATATAATTTACTTAATTTTGTGTTTTCAAAACCCTGAATATATGGCAAATGGCCCATGTGACTAAGGACGAAAGACAGTACTCCTGAGGGGATGGGTGTAAAAGTAAATACCTCAGAGGATGCACGCTAATTTACTATACGATATGTAGTATCAAAAGTAAATGAGTGTCACTGTTTTCAAGTTTGGCAAAACAACTTTTCCCATGGTATCCACTCCAAGAACTACTTTCAATATAGGCCTGTTTACTTGCTTTACTTTCAAGGGTTTATAAAAGTCATACTCAAACAGCAATTAATTTTGCTACTCTATTTTCAGTTTTTATTTATTTATGGATAGATACTGCCTCTTAATAAAAATATCCTGTTCCCATCTGTGGTTATTGATGGATAGATACTGCCTCTTAATAAAAATATCCTGCTCCCATCTGTGGTTATTGATGCAGGTGCATAGCCAACTTAATTAAAGAGGAATGCATGAAGAAACAAAGCTGAAACAATCAGCTAAGCAAAAATAGTGACTTCTGTCCAACAGAAACGGCTAGTAAGCTAACTTCTCTGTGCATAGTGGATGTCATTACTGCTTCTTTTGTTTTATTTTTCTCCAAGGTGTTATTGTCATAGTACACTGAGTCTTGGCACTGATATGCAAAGCTGGCCAGGTTTGGGCCGTGAGAGTCATCTGTTGCATTAATAGTTAAATGTCAGGCAGAAGAAGCAGAACCTACACAATTTAAACCATTTACAAATATTTGATAGCCAGATGTATTTTTTTTTTTTTTTAAATGGGCTGTAGTTTTTCCAGTTGCTCTAAATTAGATGGGTGTTTAGGTACTGGAAAGGCAATGAAACTGTCAAAAGCATCAGATTGAAACCATGGCCACGAATCTTGAATGATGAATGCCAACGTTTAGTTTAGAACGCCTACGTTCTTAGTTCAGTTCTTTACTTGACAGTACTCACTATTGCCACATGACACTAAAACTGTCGAAGACAGCGTCTGTAAGGAATCAGCTCAGTAAAGGTAAAGAGCATGGAATATAGGAATTGTGATTATGGTAGGTTGAAGAACTGAATTTAGTTCTTGATGGTATGAAATGTAACAGCGTTTTGCTGATGATATTCTAGCAGAAAAGGGAAAGCTAGAGGTAATTCTAGCAGTGCAGAATTTTTTCAGTGTTAATCGAGAACTGTTAGTGTTTTCTCTTCTAAATGAAATGAGCAGTATAGGCTAGCGTGTGCATGTGCATTTGGAACAGAGAGATGTCTCGTCATTCAAATCTTAAGCCAAATGCAAATATTAGTGTTTATTACCTTAGGCTGTTAAAATAGAAAACTGCATTTACATAGTTTTTTGGGGAGGGGGTGGGGGAGTGGTGGTGTGCCTTTTTTTTTTTTTTTTTTTTAAATAATCAGAACTGTTGCATTCCTGTTTAGGGTTTGTTATTTAAGGTTTATCTTCCTATGGTAGGAAGTAAAGTTGCCCAGACACCATTCTCTGGCACTGAGGTTAGTTGGCACAGCATGATTCAAGTCCATACCTAAGCACTTTCACTGTCCAAACCAGGATGGCTGTATTTAAGCTGCCTTTGGGGACTGTCCTTTTCCTGTGCTATTCCTCAGGCTGTACCAAGACTTTGCATGGAAGAGAGGTGGGTTTGCACAGACCAAAACTGTACCAGGAGGTGACAGCGTTAACAGTATCCATGTGTGCAGGCCAGTGCTGAGGATCCATGCACCAGCACTGTGTAGCTTGCTAGTATAGGTCTAGCCTTTGATGAAGAAAAGCCACGAATCAGTGTAGTATCCTAATACTTGATATCATCTGGCAACAACTCTCTAATAGAGGCGGCCGAGTCCATAATTTCAAAGAGAAACCTAACTATAAACTTTTAGCCTAACTTCATTTCTGCCCGTCATTCGTCCAACCTTCTTTTTGTCTATCGTTTTTAGTCAGGTTAAGTCACATTGTTGTTTACCTGAAGGATGATGATGTCAAACTAATGTGCTATAAATAGTGCACCTGTGTGCATTGAAACACAGTACACAAATGAAAATTTTCACAAGGAGGTTTGTCCTTGACTGTCATATATCGAATACATATCGTGTTATTAATTAGTACCCATTTAACTTGTTGAGACTTCTACAAAATACTTACACAAAAATCATTGGACCGTGGGTTCAGAAAGCAGAAGCTCAGTATTGGAGTCAAAACCAGACCTTCAGGTCTGTGTGAGATACGGGCTCCCCCTTGCTGGAAAATGTGTGTAGTGCAGAGAAGCAAGCAGTACTCAGGACTGCTGTAACTTCCTGGATTAGAACATTTTTCTTCAGTTTCAGTTATATACTGAATTTAATAGCTAATACTTTAGAGTGTGGGGTTTTTTTGTTTTGTTCTGTTCATCATTTAAACTTATTTTATTAAGAAATATTTAACTGTATTTTCCCACTGCCATGAGATTAGCTTGCCTTTTTCCTTGTGGTGGAATGTATGTCCCATTAATGAACAGAATTGAATGTATTTTCAGATATGTGTAGTATGAAATCAGAAGGAGGTAGATCTTGAAACATTCATATTGACTGATAAAGGGCCTGAACAAAGTTAGCTGTTGCCAGGCTGAATGATGTCCATGATAATACTCTGATACGTGCATAACTGAAGATAAATATGAACTAATGTGTTCGTAGAGAAGCTTTTGAAATACTGCTGCTGCTAATAAAGCTGCAGTGGCATTTGAATGCCATTTAAACGTGGTATCACACTTCAAGCATGAATTTAAATAGGTACGTCATCTGTAAGAGGCCTCAAGGCTCAATTATTAGTGTTACAATGAACTATTTCTAAAATTAGCCTTAGAAATTGCGACTGCAGTTTCTAATAAAAGCAGTAACATATTTTTATTCCACCTCTTAAAACATTAGGAGCGTTCTCCAATGAATTGTTAGAGTTGCTAATGCAGAAATTTTAATTCATTACACTTCTGGAGTTTTAACTCCTGGGTAAGAGTTTCTGTATTTTGAAAACTTGGGAGTTGATTTTTTTTTTTTGTTGTTATTGTAGCCATCCTAAACTGTATGATTTACTAGATGAATTATTAAAGTAACATTTTAGAGATTTCTAATTGTTTAATTTTCACTGTATGCAGGTACCTTCCTCAGAACTTTACTGATGCACTGATTAGTTTAACATTATCAAAATCAGTACGGATGCTTTTGAAATGGCATGGTTAAGAGGCATATGGGTTGCTATACTTCATAACAGCAGCTGTAGCTGCTAACTTCCTTTGTATGTCAGGTTATGTGCAGTCATAGTGCTACATATGCCTCTCTACAAAATACTAAGAAGCACATACCTGTTGATACACTGGTAGTCCTTGGCAATAAGAGTTCTATTCCAAGCTTGCAGCTTGCCTTTTGCAAATGCCAAGATTAAACGTCAGTACAACTGTGGGCCTATTGCACCTGAAGGCATGGCTCTGCTACTCTCATGTTTTGTGCTGGGAGGTCAGCATAATGAATGTTTTTATGAATGATGTGTGCACTTGTGTGTAGATTCTTCTCAATGGTGATGCTGGTGAAGCTATATAGTCTGCCTGGAGGAGGGAATTGAGCTGCATTTGGTGTCTAGAGTTCTGTCCTGCACATTCTCTCTGGGACACACTCAGAGTCTGCCAGTGGGATTTCTGATTACATTAAAAAGGATAGAGTTTATTAACATAAAACTGTAATATTTAGGTGTTAAAAGCAGTTTTATTTAACAAATAGCCTTTAATATGGCATTTCCTAAAATTACTGGTTTAATGGTAGTATAGCAAATTTTAGTTGCCTGTTAACAAGTTAAAACTATGACTGAGTCAAGTAGTGGAAGGAAGCAAGTTTAGTAATTGGCCGTAGTTTATTCTGTCTTGATGCCTCAGATAAGTGACCTGAGGATATGTTGCCTTAAGATCTTTTTTTAGTAAATGAGGGAAAGAACAACTGCCTATTGGCTGAACAGGTGGTGTCTGCCTGTCCCTTTGGCTAGAGAAGTAGCTTAGATTATGAATTTTGTTACTTAACAAACGTGCCTAGGGTAGGTGAGATCCCTGGTGACTAGACGTGTCTGAGATATCAAAGTATTTCACATATAGAAACTTTATCTTGTTTATGTGAGCCCTAGATGGCAAAGGGTGCAGTTTTGTATGTCGACCCTGATCTGAGGGCTTCATTAAACAGTTCACTTCTGGTCAGAATGTAGATGACGTTTCCTCCTACCAGCAGTTCAGTTTTTAAAAATTTGTTAGAGGACTGATTTTTATAAGTCAACCCATTACCCAAATCATGACCTAAATAAAATGAGTGATGAGCCACAATTTTTAATGGAACATCAGAGTTACTGTGATTACACCCATGGGTAGCTTTCTATCAGTCAAGACTAATGCATCCTTTTTCTCTCCTCTAGTAGGTGCTATTGGCAATTCATATTCTTAACACTTCCAATTTTTTGATGTGCCTTTTAGGAAACAAAAGGCTCCTGTCTTCTATCCTGTTACTTATTGACCCAGAAATTATCCTTTCTTTCTTTAATGGCCTTAGATTAACAAAATTGAGACCAAGCGTAGCTCTCTGTAGAGACTGAGGTTTCTAGGCTTTGAACTTTGCATCCAATTAATTGGTACTTAGGGTGTCATGTTGCATTCAGCAGCAGAGATGAGAAGTAATAATACAAAATGCTTCTTTATTTTAAGCAGTATCATTTTCCATAACAAGAAAGTTGGCCTATGATTTGAGTGGCAAACAGGTGACAGTTGCATTTTGAGTGCACATCATCTTGTTCTTCAGAAGTATTCAATGCTGTCATTGGACACAAAAAAAACCCCACAACTGTAGAGGTGCATATATGCAGGGACTTCATGTAATTATTTCAAGGAGCTATATGTGGGCAAAGGGATACAGTCGACAGAACTAGGATTGGTGGGAGGGAGCACCACGAAGAGGTGGTTTGCAATAATCCAGACAGACTCAGTGAATGGCTAAGTCTGCCTACATCAGTCTTTGGTTGGTGGGTGGGGTTTTTTTTAGTATAACCTTATCTGGTATGCAGTTTGTCCTGTGTAGGAAGATGCTTGTCACAGCTCGTTACACAATTCAGCATCTTGTATGAGAGGGTTCTGCTTAAAGAATAAGTAGTGTTTCCTGCCATGTTAGGTGAAGTTTTGTACAGACCTAAGGGACAGTGCTGGTGCTTAATCATCTGACAAAACTTTACTTGTTGAGGTTAGGATGAAAAATTATCCTCTCCATTGATGGCATATGATGCCATGCAGAGCAACATCCAGAAAATATCCATTTATGATTGTAATCCAAGATCAGAGGAATTTTCTAATAGCTTTTGTTGGAGGCAGTGCCTAAGGATTTTGTTTCATTTAGAAATTAATAAATCAAGGTGTTCATTTTTTAAACTAATATCTGTCTTTTTTAAAATCATAGTGTTCTTAAGACCACAGAGAAATTTGGAATCAATAGACCCACAATTTACAATCCGAAGGAAAATGGAGCAGATGAGAGAAGAGAGAGAGCTTGTGGAACAGCTACGTGAGGTATGTGTTGGTAGAATTAATTTGTGCTAATGGAATGTACTTTTTAAATTTTTCTTTGGGAAAGTTGTCTAAGTGGGAGAATATTGAAAAGGTTAAACGAGACAATGTGACTTCTGCAAATCACATTGATGAGACTATTCCTGAAGTGCTTTATCACAGCCAGATGTCTGTACTTGAGGAAAGGGTTTGTAAAAATGGGACATAATAATGGGAGTTACCTGAATGGCATACTGTTAAACAGCATGCCTGGCACTGGTGGAATGAAGAACTTATTTCATTTCATCAGACAGGATGAAGTGAGCACTTAAGAGGTAGAGAGGTCTCAAAGCTCTTCCCTAACAGTTGGAGAAGTCTTCAGTCTAGCAGGTTAAAGGCATAATGAAAGCTATTAGTTAAAGCTGAAGTTAGAAACTGGTTTTTTTGTGCAGCTAACTGATGCTTGAAACAACTTTCTTAGAAATTAATTGAATATTTCATCACCTGAAGATCTGAATATACAAGTGGGTTTCCTGATATATTGTCTTGAATACAGAAGCTGGAACATGACGCAGAAATTGCTGCATGTGATTGCATGTAGGGTCTGTGTTAGACAGATGATACCTAGGTAATGCTGTTTGTGTGACATCTATTTGTGTCAAAAAAAGAAAATCAGATGACAGCCTTTGCCACAAGGAATGTTGCAAGGCTGGTATCATTGCACTCCACAATGCAGTGCAAATCTCGAAGTGTGGTAGGTGATTTTGATACCACAACCGAATTACAAGATTATTTGTTCTTATGTTATTAGCTTAATGGAATGACTACTTCCAAAATTATTCATTTAAATAAAATAACATACATTGTATTATTTAATTTTAAAGCAAGAGGGTTCACCTTTTTTGTCCTTACCAAATAGTCTTTAAAAGGTGGGTTGTTTAATGTAGAACTATGAGGACTTTTAGATCTTCATTCACTTACCTCAAGCCCTCACCTACTTTAAGTCTGGTTTAATCTTGTTTTGCTGATTTTTTGAACAGAACAGATCTTGTTGAAGATTCAGTGTAGTTGATTCAATGTAGAATATTACCGATTCTAAACTTGGGTGGGGCCAAAGTTCAATCTGCAGGAATTAGATGAGACTGTCTTATTGGTAATAGAGAAGAAAATGGAAGTAGCAGTAATAAGATGCAGTAGGATGTAGTTATGAGCATAGTCTAGTCAGCAGCAGCAATGCAGGTTTTTTACATTTCTTTTAAGAATTATAACAAGTATGTAGCAAGTTCCTAAAAATAACGTCCTCAAGGTTTCTGCCTTGTGCATTAGTTCAGCTAATCCTCACCATGAAAAGTAGAGCACGGTTATTCACCATATCAGGCATGCTCGTGCAGACTTAATAGGGATCTCTCTACACTGTATTAGTATTAGGTATTCCCAGTAATACTGGTTTAATGTGTTACTGACCATCAGCTCCAGGCACTATCCTTCTCTGCCCTCACCCTGAAGCATTGTGTCCTGAAACGAAAGTTTTGTTGTCTCTTGTGAGAAGTTTGATTGCAAGTCAAGGAGTGGTGTCAGAAACTAGAAGATTAGCCCTGTTTGAAGCACGTAGTGAGATTTTTTTGAATTAATAAAGTTTAATCTGGCATACTGGGTCCTTTAGTGAGAGAAGCAACCTCCAGACCATCTCATTATGTACTGTACAAGAAAATAGCCCAGAACATGTTAGTAATGAAGTTCAGACTTATTGAATAAACATACCTGTTAGTATATCTTTCCTTTTGAATTGTTTCATGGTATGTTAGAATATAGTGAGACTCCACAGAACCTTCATCTTTAACTACACTGGGCACTGAACAAGAAGGAACTATTACAGTACTCAGGTTCCTTATCCAGAAATAGGATAGGCACAGGTACCTTTAGCTCAACTGCTTCACCTGAAGTGTATATTGTGAGAACACTGGTGTTTCTTTCATACATTCCCCCCATTTTCTTTAGAGTGCTGTGTTCTTTACAGAAATTGTTCCATTTCATAAAACTTCTTCAGAGACATACTTCCTTATGCCCTATTTGAGCCATTTGATTTTGTGTACATCCACGGTCACTACAGACAGTTATCATTTCGAGAGTGATTCGCCACTTATTCTTGAGTAGTAGAGTCTAGCAAGAAATACTGGTTGATTTGTGTCACTCAAAGGGTAAAACGTCAATAGTTTTGATGTGCTAAGTGGAACAAATTACAGCTGTAATATGGGTGGTTTTGAAAAAGCAGTTCTTCAGTGGTGACAAAATCAAAAGAGAATTGATCCACTTCTTAAAGTCTTAGATTTTCATTAAATCTAGTCTCAAACCATGAACTGGCATTGAAATAGTGTTGCAGGTGCGTGCTGCACTCATAAAAAATAAAAGGCACCCTGATCTATAACTGAGTAATCTCCCAACAGGCAAGTCAGTTTTTTAAGAGAAGGAATTTTTAATTCATGAACTTATAAACCTGTTTGTAACAGATTTGGAAAAAAGTCTTAATATTCACTCTTAATGTATAACTTTCTGTACATATCTCATATGGCAGAATGTTTTCTAATGCATGAATTAATCCAAGATGAAATCAAAACATATTGGCATACATGATGCACTCCCTTGTTCAGCACTTGTGAGACCATACTTGTGGGTACTTGAGTAGTGTGTCTAGTAAAAGAAAAACTGGGAAGATATAATGAAACCGCGGGGTGAGTTCAGTGGAGGCTACTTCATGGTGAGGCCACTCAAACAAAGGATGTATGAGGAAGAAGCTAAGAGCTGAATTTCTTTTGCTTGGAGGAAAGAGTGCTGAGAATATCATATGACTGTCCTCAGCTGCCTGAAGGGTAGTAATAGGGAAGATAAAGGCAGGCTTTTCAAAGATGCACAGTCAAAGAATGAGGGGCAGAGGCACAGATTGCAGAGAGAGGAATTTCAGGTAACTGTAAGGAGAAAATTCTTTGCAGTAACGGTGGTGAAACACTGAACAAGGTTGCCTGAGGATGGGGAATTCTTCTTCTTTGCAGATATCCAGAACTTAACTTACCAAGGCTCTGATCTCATTTCAAATTTGTTAGACCAGGACACCTTCAGAAAACCCTTTCAACCTACACCCTCTTTTGATTCTAAAGAGAATAATCTATTTTCTTGTAAAATACCCAGCAGAGATTGAGGTAATGTATTAATAGGGAGTAGTGATGTTACGGAGGTTCAGCTAGGAATAAGAAATACCAATTTTAAACTAATGGATGTAATTATCTCAGGGTTAATCTGAGAGTTAACCAAGCACTTTAGTGTTGGAATGTTTTCAAGATCAGAGCGTAATTTAGGAAAGTCATCATATGTCACAATCTTCTTGTAGGTAGGGTTTTCTTTTGAGAAGTTCTCAAATATTTTCAAAATACTTTATTTTCTAATATCAAATTCTGATACCAAGTTCTGGTTCAAAGAAAATAGAAGACTTTAGGGAATGGTGAAAGGAAGGAGCCATATGTAAGGCTATCACGTGGCTAATTGCCTGCATATGTGGGTCTATATGGGTGTATAAAAATGAATGCATGTTGGGACAGCAGCATTTGAAGTGTTGAGTTCTTTTAAAGAAGTTTACATAATTCAGTGACCAACATAGGGTCGAGGGGGTTGGTTTTTGGTTTTTAAAAAATTAGTTATGTGAAGGCAGTGTGTTTCTTGGTAAACCAAAACTGGCTATGTGTCTACAGCATGGGAGAAGATGAGGATATGTATTCCCTTTTTTCCCCCCATTCATCCTTTTTTACATAAAAGCGTGGATGTGTTCTTCCTTTGCAGAACATTGAAACAAGACTAAAGATTTGTTTGCCTGAAGACTTAGGCTCTGCTCTGATGGATGGTGTAGTTCTCTGCCATTTAGTAAATCACGTTCGTCCTCGCTCTGTCGGAAGTATCCACGTACCTTCACCAGCAGTAGTAAGTTGAATGTTTCATGTTACATTGGGACGGGGGGCAGGAACATTTAAAAAATTGCTGGTTTATTGCCAAATGATATTTGGTTACATAAAACAGGTTGCTGTTCAATGAATGTTCTTTGCTGTTATGGACAGCATGTACATTATTACAATTTCAAATGTTCATTTATTTTTATATATTATATATACATGGCGTGTGTATATATACACACATCTGTAAGTGGATAAAATTATCCTGCCTTTCTCTGATCTAGCAACAGGTCAGATTTTTTTTTCAGAATGGTCTCTTTGTTAAGTAGACTATGAAATTCTGTGGTTACAAGATTTTATTATAGGAGACACTTTTTTAAAAAGAAAATTAGCCCCTTGTTGTTGACTGAAGAAATATGAGGTTAACTTCAGCAATGTCTGGCTTAGCACATGCCATGTAATTGAAGCACTTACAGGACTTGGGTTAAATGTAGACATCATCCCTCTTACCTGCAGACAGAATGGAATAGAAACATGCAATATAGTGGTTTTATATTGTCTTGCCACACCTAAAGACCTGAAGATTTCAGAACATAAAATCTATGTAACCTGATTTCTTGAAACTTAATTTTCTTAGTATTTTCTCTGTTTATTGATGTCTTTTCTTGGTCAGATCTCTGTTCCAGGTTCCTGATACCATTTTGGTTCTGAAGAGGTTTTGTATGTTTTTAGACTATCTGCCCCCCTTTTTTTAATGTACATATTACAAAATATCTGCTGTGTACAGCCTGATACTCAATTCTGAGAACAGCATGTGGATTTCAGAGCCACTCTATAAGAACTTCCAAGAAGACAGAAGTTAAGAAAAAGACATTGTCTCAGATGGTCTAGCGAAGTTTCTTTTATTGTTGCTTGGTTTTATATTATTTCTGCCTTTGGTAAAAAGATCATATTGACAAAATATGCAAACCTGAATTTCTGGGGCAAAAACTTAAGGTGTGGGGGGTTTTTTTTGTTTGTTTAAGATGATAAAAATCTTGTGGTGTTTTCTGTAACAAAAAATATTTTAAATCCATTTTCGTTTTGTTTCAACCTTGTATTGATGATGTTGTCTTGCTTGAAACAGTCTTTAGCCTAGAAAATTAGCTTTAAAGTTCCGGCTACTATAGCGAATTCTTGGTTTAAGTGGATGTTGAGGAATTACCATTGCTTCACATCTTGTATTGAGGAAGTAAAATAATGAGTTGTTGGGGTGGGTTTTCTGGTAAGATGAACTTTCTGTATTTGGTGAGTAGTCCTGAGTGAGACAAAATTATGGAAGTGTTTGTCATTCTACAGTAATGAGAAATTTCTTCTTCAGAGACCTTAAAATTGTATATAGTTACTACAATAGTGAGTACCTAAAATATTTTAAAAGTAAGAGCCTGTTAATTACATTTAAGCCTGTTCCTTATGAAGTATATTGAAATCCTTCACCAGTTTACTTGCTGTCCAGAAAATCAGTGCTGTCTATCACAAGTTATAAGAGTTGTGTTTTAGAGCCTCACAAGCTGCATGTGAACAAGTAGAAATCTAAATGTGCTGGTGACTTTAATGTAATAAAAGCAAACGACATCCACAACTTATGTATTCAGATCTTATTTGTAGGCGTGTTTAGAGTGGTAGGGAAGAAAAGGAATTTAATGCATTGTTTTCAGGAGAAATATGGAAGCAGTGCATCAGTACAAGGATAGTGCAATAGATGAATCTATTGACTGAATGAATGTTGTTGGCTTCTTTTACCATAAGCTATATTTTCTTGTTTTTACAGCCTAAACTTAGTATGGCCAAATGCAGAAGAAACGTGGAAAACTTTCTGGATGCATGTAGGAAACTGGGGATACCAGAGGTAATTTAATACTACTTTTAGTGTATTTAAGTGGCTCATATCATAGCGCTTAAGAACTTTTGCCTTAAATTAGTAATTCAGTATTATCCCCAGTACCTCCTTTTCTTTGTCATGAAAGATACATAAGGAAGGTGCTAATTAGGTAATATGTGATGTGTAGTTAGGCAAAACTTTGCTATTTTTTCGTTATATAACTTAACTGCATTTTTACATTGTGGTTTTAGATATGGACTTCATTCTTTTTAATTATTGATTTTCCTTTTTTAACAATATTAAGTACTCTACAGTATGCATTGTAAAAGTGACTAGTAACACATCCAGCTCTTATACCGAAACACTTCTGCAGTGATGTCAAGAAAACCCATTGTGTGTTAGGTGTGGAATGTACATATGGGTATGGTTGTTTTATAATGCAGATGTAAGTTTGACACGTTACTACACTACACGTTGGAAATAGGGAGTTTGCAGTACTTGGTGTTTTCTGTTTTTCATTTAAGAATGGCAGCATTTATCATGTAGTTTATTCTTATAATAATAAGGAAAAATATCTTCTTAACTAACTTCCTGAATTCTGGAGAATCATTGGGAATATTTCAAAGACTCCCTCATACTCTGGAGTACCTATTAAGAGAAAGTCAATTTCAAATACATGACTCTCAAAAGAAGGTAAAAGTGGTTTGCAAGTCCTTTTTAATCTGAAAACATGAAAATTGCATGATGTATTTTTCCCTGTGCTGTTGCCTACATATGACAATATAATTAAGACTGAGGTTTTTTTAGTATGTATTTCAAGAATACTGAAACAAAAGGATGTTTTGTGTATCTCCCCCACCATCCCCTTGGGGAGCAGATGGTAAAGCAAAGACTTCACACTGGGAAAGAATTCCAGTTTGAATTCTTTATATTTTAGCCATATTTTAGCACTTGATTTGCGGGACAGCAAAAGTAACAGTTCATTTTTGCTATTTCTAGGAATTTTGAGGAGGTAGACTTTTGTCTTAAAACTCCAATGAATGGTTCATCATAAATGTAACTTGAGAATTCAGTGTTATGGGCTGGGCCTCTAAGTTGTAATGCTTGATTTAGTTCTTAGAATAATGTAATCTATTATGTTAGAAAGATTTCATATTAAACATAAAATTTCACTTCAGAGAAGACCAAAATCTCAGTGTTGTGGGCTTGTAGACGTGGTGTGTTTCTTAAGCTGCCCCAAAATTCGTTGTCTTCTGATGCATCATAAATTATTCAGTGAATGAGAATGCAAGTCGGGTTTTCCTGGATATAGCTTGTTAGGAAAGAGAAGGCCAAGAGCTCTTTTCACTGTTGTCGAGAGATCATTCAGAAATGGAAATAAACCAGGAACATTTAAAAAGATCCTTGCAGTGGCATGTTCCAGCTGGGCAAGCCAGGCCTTCACTTTGATATTTTTTTTTTTTTTTAAGTTGGATTTCACTAAGTAAGTTTTGTGGAAAAATGCCTTTTCATTTTCTATTAATAGACTTTTTAATATACTTGTTTACCCTGGCTCTTTATTGCTTCTGTTGAAATTAGTGTAGAATTTTTAAGGATTTTTTTTTTCTGTGTCTTATTAAAGTATCTTTGTTGCAGAGTTGCACAGAGCATTAAGCACAAGGCCAGATCTTACCAATCTGATTTATAAACCAGCCATCCTTATGAATCTAAATGGACATTAACTTCTCTGAGGGGAAAACCTCATTTGCTTAAATATTAAATGAACATCTTGCAATTGTAAATTTATGACAGATTTTAAGTACTCCGAGGATATTCTTTTTGATTAGCTGTCAGTAATTTGCAAATGCAGCTGTTTGCTATACATTGTGAAAATCCGTCGGGCTGTGGAACTAGATGGTAGTTTAATAGAACCTTGTTGCATGTTGGAGGAATAAAAAGTTGTACGATAGCAAGTGTAACAGTAACTGTCAAAGTTGTTAAAGAACTACAGATGGTGTGTTTAATGCTGCTTCGGATTGGTGAGTTGTACATTGCCTGACTACCTCTGGACAAACCAGTAAGAGGAATGCAGTGAATTCCTTCCTTTTTTTTTTTTAAAACAAGCTTCTGATGGGAAAACGATAGGTTCCACTTATCACCCTAATAAATATGGGTATTAGGATCTATGCTTATATCCATGTTTAGTTCCTGGGAACTAACTTGAAATTCTACTGCATGAGGGTTTTTTTTAAGGATTTAAAACCGTCATCCCTCCTGTTGGTTTGTTTTCAGTTATTTATGGGATGGATTAGAGTATGTGGTATTTCCTGAACTCCACTGGTTTAGAGTAACATCCTGTCAAAGCATGTAAAAAGTAAACAAGAAAATAGCTAAGTAATTATTGTGCTGATGCGCAGGGTCTTTTGCTTCTGTGGCTTTCAGCATTCAGTTCTTGGGTCAAAATTGCTTTCCCCAGAATGATCCTGGGAAACTTCATCCGAGTGGACAAAAACGCAGTTGGTATCCTTATCCGAATGTATAAGCATCAGGAGTTGGTTTCTTGACCCAAGAATCACAAATAGAAGATTCAGGTGCGCGAGCATCTCTCTCTAATGGCCTGGTATGTAGAACATTCTGGAACTGTGTGCCAAGTGGTACACAGCCAGCCATTACCTGCCAGGTGAGAAGTTCAGTACAGTGCGTGCCACGTTGAAATCTTCACTTGCTGTGAAATTGGCCATACGATGCTCCGGATCACCTGCAGAAGGGATATGTTGTATCATAAGCGAAAGGACTATTTTAGGAATATGGTTCTGACCCTTAAATAAGAGACTAAATGGCTCTTACTGCACCTAGAGTCTGTCAAAGTGTGAGGATTGTTGGAAAGGCAACTTCTATCTGGTTTTACCCCTAACTTTTCCTATAGAACTTTTTTTTATTCCAAACTATCAGAGATGTTTATAAATTACAGTTTTTTGAGACAAAAAAGAATTTTTGTTTGATGTGAGAAAGGGACGGTGGCAGGTAAGCATCTGAAAGCCTGAAGATTCAGAAAAATGTCTTTGCTGTGCCCCTCAAGACGTGTATGGCAGAGAAGGTACAATCTTTGTCACTTAGAAAAGTACAAAAGAAGACTTTATTTTACACTCTTAACTAAAAGCTGTCAGATTGCCTAATCTCCTCTGTAATAGCCATAGAATGACAAACGCTCCTAATTTTTGGCTGATGCAGATTGAATAAGCAAGTAGCAGTAGGTATGAAGTAGGTAGGGGTGCCTGCCCCACTGCATTTTTTAGAACGACATGCAGTACTTCCACGCTGCCATTCGTAGGAGTAGATTGTTAATGTCATATGAAGCCAGTACTGATATCACCTATAATGCTCCTCCATGTATATTGAACCCACCATTTCACACTTTCTGGGTTTAGAATATAAAGCTATTTGGGGGATTTTTTTAAATTTCTGTTTAAATGTGGCATGCAAAGTGACAAATGTACCAGTTCTAATGCAGTTTTACTCTTCTTAATGACATCTCCTCCAACAGGTATTTAAAAAGATCAGGAGTGTCTGACTTATTATCACATGAGCATGTATGTAAAGCTAGGGAAGTATTTTGGTTTCAGCTACTCTTTCATAAAGCCAGTAACAATATATGTAAATGAAGACAAAAATATTCATATACATTTCTTGAACTTGTCGGTTGCCACGTCAGAATCAGTATTCACACTAACAGCAAAGAACTAGATTTTCCCAGTTTAACCTGCAAGTCATTAACTTAAGCTTTAGCGTTCGTTCTTGGTTGCTGTTATTCTTGGTAATCCATATGACAGAGCATTATTTTCTTACACACTTTCAGTGACGTTAACAAATATTCCTGTCAAAAGGAAACAACTGATTTGTGGTGGGGTGAATGATACTTCATCGTAAGTGAGATTTAGACCAAAACAAAGCTGGAAACGCTGCATGTTATTTGAAAGGCAGAAGTTGCAAGTTTTGGTCTGTATTTCTTCTAGTTCTCAACTATGAATGAACATGGCGTATCAGAAGTAGGACCTTCTAAGCATTTTGTCAGAAAAGAAATTCAGCAAAGTTATTTTCAATGTTTGTGAGCCAAAAATGCAGAATTTGTCTTTTTACAAAGACACGGACTGGTTATTATGATCTTCAACTTACATTATTGGAATATCTTAACAGTTTAGACACTCGATCATCTTTTGGCCCTTTATGGGGACTCTTCAGGTCAGAGAAATTAGGTAGAGTTATTTTGTAACAAAGGGAAGACAGACCTTCCCCACATGGACAGATACACCATGTCAATCTTCATATAGCTTGAAAAGGGGGAGATTGAAGTTCTCATGATTAATACTAGAACAGTAATTTCTGTGGATAAAGGGTGGTGATGAAATGAAACCTTTCACAGCCAGTTGTTACAGCAGGTTTGTCGACCTTCTGTGTTGCAGTATGTCAGTAGTGGTGCACCAAGGTTTAGTGGGACAAATTATTTCTCATGTGGGAATGAGGGAGACTTCTGCCAAATTTTCAGTCAGCTACTCGGTATACACTTACTGAACAGAACAGAGTGATGGTAAGAAATGGCTTTTTTTGGTCTCAAATAATCATATGAAGATTCAGATTACAAAAGGTTTAGCTGTGCCCCTTCCTGTGATTTTTCGAGTCCTGCAAATGGGGAGCTGTAACTGCATCCCACCTCTGCCTCTGAAAACTAATTCCGCTATGTTGCAATATCAGCCAGAACTGTTCTAAAAATCAATATGATTTGTGTTAGTGTAGGAATTGCTAATTAAGTAAAACAAACAGAAAAAAACCAGGAGACTTGTGTGTGCTAAACCTGGCAGAACAAAGTAAAAGAAGCAACCAAGGAGAGAGCATCAAGTGCTCAATCTTCTATCCACCTACCGTTCAACTGGTAATCATGTTAATGCAGGGCATATTTTCATGGCCAATTACACTTGTTTTCTGAACAACTCACGTAATCAGTTACTTCCCCATAGTTTCATCATGAGACAGCCGTGAAGTTGCAGTAAGTTTTATCAGGTAGGACTCCTTCCTCCACCCTTTCGTTCTGCGGTCGGTAACGTACACCGTGTGCCCTGCGGTGCGGGGCGAAGCTGTTCAGTACGCTGTCAGCTAGAGCCCTGAAGGCAGAACTCTGAGCTCCCCGTTATTTGTGTTCTGAGCATAGCGCATACGTGCAACAGGCTTCATTCCTTAATGCACTTCTGCCATCTTACTCTTGACTTGTTTTACCAGAGTCAAAAACTGAGGTTAGTTTGGAAATGCTGCCTGTTTCCACAGTCGCTGCAGGAGCATGCGGGATGAGGGTGGCTTGTGCACACAAACAACTGGTTATGCTTTTGTCATTCCACTTCCCTCTTACTCTGTTTATTCTGCGTGCATGTTTTTTGGCAGCTGTTCTGATTTAATCACGTAGCTTCATAAAATGTAATGATTAAGTATACGTATCTTTTTAGTTCTTGCCAATAATAATTTCAGCCTCCTCAATGAGAAGGGCAGTGCTTGCGGTGGGTGGGGGGTAGTCCGTGAGTCTTTGGGTGGGGGTCATATGCTCTTTCACTGTTTAATGATGTCATGTTTTATTTAGGTATTTTCATTTCACAGCTTCATAAAATTCTGGTAACTTAAGTGGAAAGACGTTCACAATTACTGAAAAGCTTTATTTCCTTAGGGTTACATTACAGAAGTTTAAAATACCTACAATATAAACGTTTTGCTCAACTTGGTGTTACATTCACACCTCGTTATCCATTGTCACAGAACACACAAAGATAGGTAAAAAAAGATCAGATGTTGCCCAGACTTCCCTGGGTTTCACCGAATCCTAATAAAGCGCAGCATGGCGGTTCCCAGAGGAAGTTTCTTCTGCATGTGTTGGCTGTGTACGCTTCGGCTTCTCCTGTATACTGCTCAGTGTGTTAATCTCTGGCTGACAAGTTCTTCAGTCCCTGTAAAAATTCAACCTATTACCAGCTCTCATTCTCTAACTCTGAAATTGCGTCCTTCTCCATTCGACTGCAGTAGGGATTGGTGGGGTTTTTGGACAAAGATTTTCATAAAGTCTTTGTCTTAAAGTTCTATCTAATTTTTAATATAAAGTTCAATATCTCTTAGATGTGGGATACATTAGCAACAAGTAGGAATAGAGTCTTGTATGCTGTTTTAAAATTAATCTGATATTTGCTGGGTTTCGTGGTGGTTTTGGTAAAAGTGCAATATATTACATAGTTGATAGTCCTGAGTAGTTTGTTTGCCTTCAAATTAATTTCTCTGGTAAACAGCTTGAGGATGTAGATGTTCTTGGATGCAATACTAGTTCTATCCCATTTTTAAGTAAGACCAGCATGTTTTGTTCTGTCTGCGAGTTTTCATCTGTTAGAACAAGCCAAATAAAATCGCATGGAAGTTTCTTATCACACCAGCTTCTTACCGCAGAGTGGTTTTCCACCCCTGTGTATCTGCTGGCCTAAGTAGCAAAATTAAAATGCTGCAGCTTTTGGCTCCTGTTAAAGCTAGAACCAGGCACGGGAAGCAAAAAAGCAAGTGTGTCACTTTTTTGTGTATGAATGACAGTTCTGACTTGCAGTTTCACTAGCCGCTTTCTGGGATAGAAGGACCTTTTAGTTATTTTCAAGTTTAATGTGTTGTCAACTAGACCTTGAAACCTTGCACTAGCAGAAAACAGACATCTGAGCTTCCATGACTTTGCTTATTGGGTGCACTGGCCGTTCGTTAAGCGACTGAAACTGAAAAGCTGCTAAGAAGCGCAAGGGATCTCTCTCCTACTTTGTATAGTTTTATTCTGTAAATATTTCCTTTTCTGTTGATAGTAAGACCTCACTTGCAATGTAAAACAAGATATCTTAGTTTGCATTTTGAAAGTACTTGTTGTTGCCTGGCTTGATTTTGATGTTAAATATTGTGTATGCATATTGATATTATTATTACCTATTACACTTCATTTTGTATAGCTGGTCTAGAGTAAATTGCTACATGAAGTCACTGATATTTTCCAGCACAAGTATGGGAATCTAACTTGCTAATAACTTTTAAAATGTTACCTAAGGAATTTAGTGTCAAATCCTTCAGTTTAGAAACTTTATTAAAATCGCGTGTGATCAGTGCTACATTGATTTTTTTCCGTTTCAGTCCCAGGGTATCATTTAAGATGATATTTGAATACCAAGTTTTAGAGTATTTATTGTGTTAGAGAATTTTGCATACTTGTAACCATTTCTTTAAGTCCTTTTTCTTGAGTCTTCCTATTGCTGCTGTTTGTGCCTTTAACAGCTTTCTAACCCACTGTTTGCTATTGTGTAAGTTAGGTTTTACAACTGGGTCTGTTTAAGCATTTGAATAAGGCTCAGGTGGACAAAGGAGTGCAGATCTCATTGGAATAAGTGGATCACATGCACTTCCTCACCCTGGTGAACCTGGGCATAATTTTGGAAGGATTTGAAGGCCTGAGCTCTTCTATCTTAATATTCTGATACTATGGCTTCAGTACCTAGAGTAAATAAGAAAGCTGAGGTGTCTAGTGACTAAGGCAATACTAGGAAGAAACTATTCCTATATGTTTATGCTAGAATACTGTGATAATTTATTTATCAATATCTTTCTATTTTTGTATTTTTAATTTTATGCACTGTTTTTTTCTGTTCTAATGGCTGCCCTTCGGGATAGGCTGACCTCTGCTCTCCGTATGACATCCTGCAGTCGGATATTCGTCACATTCGAAAGACTGTTGACACTCTGCTCGCCCTCGGGGAGAAAACCCCACAATCAACTTCTACCTTTCGCTCCTGGGATCTAATAGGCTTTTGTCTTTTCCACATACTTTTTATAGTCTTGATGTATATAACTTATCACTGGAATGTGCTAACAGCATAACCTGTTCGCATGTGCACACAAACTTTCTGCTTTGTCTCTGACAAATTACAGGTACTTGATTTCCTTCCTTTGTCTTACAAACTTTCCCTTTCCCTCGCTTCCCTTCCCTGTAATATCTTTATTAATCTCTTAAAATAGGGGAGAGAGGGTGTAGCATCTTGAAGGCGAGTCCCATCTCTTCTCCCCCACCTCCCTCCAGCTGTAGTTTAAGAACTTATGTACCTCTTAATTTACAGTTTGGGGGGGTTTTGTGTTGCCCAGACTACACACTAAATGTGTTAAAGCTACTCTGATCTGCACTTCTGGGTGTAGGCTAGGTGTGTATCACGAGCTAAACAGAACCAAGCCTCTTAGTTTTTGTGAAAGTCACAGAATGCTGCAGATATTGAAGCCGCTGAGGTGGCACTTCAACAGAATATTTTCTGAGAATTATCTTTCAAATTACTGTTACTTTTTAATCCCTTAAATTAACGAGTACTAAGATTGATAGTCATCTCTACTGTTCCGATTAAATTCCGTACTGCAGTAGTTATGTTTTCCTGCTTACAGTTTGGTTTCCTCCAGCCTCCATAGAATAATCTTTTTCTTCCGCCGCACAAAGCAGCATGGGACTGCTTTTAAACACCTGCTATGTTATACCCCAAAGATGGCTGTAAATTAGGAGTGGGTATGGGCAACCCATAATATGCCAGGGACTTCAGAGTGTTTCGGGATGGAGACCGTGGAGTACAGTGTGATAGAGTAAGACAGAGAATAAGCTTTTAGATTCCTGTATCTGCCATTCTTACGTGTGACGTCAAGGAAGTCGCATCACTGTCTTGTCTCTGTTTTGTCACCTGTGAAAACACAGGTAACATTTGTTTGTTTGTTTGTTTTTGTGTAAAATCTGTAACGAAGACAATGTAGACAGGGAAACAGATGGTCTAGGGAGAGTCTAGGTTTTCCATCCTTTAAGGTTTCACAAAATAGGTCAGAGAAACATTAGCCAGGAGGTGTTTTCGTATGTTTGAACTCTGCTTATGGTTAGAGTACTGAACTTCCATTTCCCTTCCAGTTCTGTTGATCTTTTGTAAGACTTGAATAAGACAATATTTTTGTTTGTTTTACTCCTTATCAACATGAAATATACAAATGAAAATTGATTGAAAAATGTAAAACCTCGAATATAAAGCCATATTGATGTTGCATGTTGGCCTAGGTGCTGCTGACTACATTTGTAATTCAGTGTCAGGCTAGCTAACCAAAGGACCCCAGTTCTGTGGCTGTGAAGTGCATTCATTTCTCACTGCCTAGTGTATATAAAAAAATTACCTATAGAATTTTAGAGGATAACTGGCATAAGAACTTCTATGTTGTTGATTATTCCGGCCATATGGTTATGATTTAGTGCTATATTATAAATATCCCCTTTCCATAGATACTTGTAAAATTTTATTTAAAAACTTCAAAATACAGTTCTATTCCTGGTTTCCATGGCTTAAATATATACATGCACACATAAATGAAATTAAATGTATAATTAGGTACATATTTTAGGATGGAAAAATTAATTTCAGATGATGGATAAATCGGATTTTTTAAAAAGGATTTAGTGTCTAGCGGTCTCCAGTGCATACGTATAACAACTCTGTTGTTAAGAGTGTCTTCTGTGACCAGGCATGAGTTCAGTGAGTGCTTCCAGGTTCCAAAGAACTTTCCTTTACTTGAGGAGAAGGTGCTAGTTACTTGGGTGCATAGCTACAGACTGATGTGCCCTCATCCTGCACAGGCCTGTCTCTTAACTGCGTGCCTGGTTTCAGCGATGACAACAGCGGACACTTCCTCACCCAGAGTCAGAGCTTGATGTTTAAGCTTCCACTTCAAGTAGATCTGTCTTGATTTTGGTTGTCTTGTTTCAACAACGTTGCTTTTCTAGTGAAACTGAGAAAGGGCCATAAAGCTCGAATCCGAATCTATTAACTGTATGATTCTTCATCATCCGATGTTGGTATTTGAGAGGTTTGTGATGGCATCACTAGGGCTGGGATTTTACTTCTGCTCCTGTAAGTGGTAAACAGGTTTCCTGTCAGTGCTTTGTGTTGTGCACTCCTTATAGAGTAACTATGTGCATGAGCATATTTGAACGTGTCTTGAAAACAGAAAATCAGGTGGGGAAAGTCGTTGCTACCATCCGGTAGCACACATCTGTCTCATGCTCTAGTATTGTGTCTGATTATCCACTGTATCTGCTAATTTTGGGAGGGAGGTGAGAGAGCGTGTTTTCAGTTTCCAGTGTGCAGAAATGGAAGTTCATGTCTTCAGTGGTTTTGGGTGTTTTATCCAACATATCCCAGTCATAATGACATGTAACTCTCAAACTTGTCCAAACCTTTATCTTCGCGTATGCTTGCTGTGCAAACAGAGTTGTCTTCTAATTGTCTCCTCTGAAGAGATTCCAGTATTGGGACATACAGTTATGTACAGTTGATACTTAGGGCTCACAGCCGGTCACATAATTAAGCTGATGACTTTGGGTTTAAAAACAACGCACACTGTAGTTTACCCGCGTATTCATTGATAACAGGAGTTATATTTCCTCTCCCATTTGTTTGCCATTCTTTATTTTTTGTTTTCACTGCAGTGGTCATCAGAGCTCTTCAAAGAGCGATTTCTGCATAAATTGGCCTCCATGCTAGTCTGTCCTGTGGAGGTGCTGCCATCCCTGCTGCAGTAAAGTTATAAATGCAAATTGTAATGAGTTAATGCAGTATGCATGCAGGTAAAATGTGTTTTGCACTGGATTACAAGGGGCGTTTTGATGTGAGGAGTTGGCTTTTCCCTTGAGCCAGCAAACAGATAAATAGTTTCAAGTGCAGAGGAATGCAGCGTAGTATTCCGTCAAATACCTCTTTCTCCAAAGGTATATTCATAGAATCACAGGATCACAGAATGGTTTGGGTTGGAAGGGACCTTAAAGCCCATCTAGTTCCACCCCCCCTGCCAGGGGCAGGGACACCTTCCACTAGACCAGGTTGCTCAAAGCCTCATCCAGCCTGGCCTTGAACCCTCCCAGGGATGGGGCATCCACAGCTTCTCTGGGCGACCTGTGCCAGTGCCTCACCACCCTCTCTGGGAAGAACTTCTTCCTGAGGTCCAATCTAAACCTCCCCACTTTCAATTTAAACCTGTTACCCCTTGTCCTGTCACTACAGGCCCTTGTAAAAAGTCCCCCCCAGCTTCCTTGTAGTCCCTTCAGGCACTGGAAGGCTGCAATAAGGTCTCCCCGGAGCCTTCTCTTCTCCAGGCTGAACAAGCCCAACTCTCTCAGCCTGTCCCCATAGCAGAGGTGCTCCAGCCCTCTGAGCATCTTCGTGGCCTCCTCTGGACTCACTCCAACCGGTCTATATCCTTCTGATGTTGAGGGCTCCACAGCTGGATGCAGTACTGCAGGTGGGGTCTCACAAGAGCAGAGCAGAGGGGGAGATACTAACAAGCTTTTACAGCTGGAAATGGAAATGGATCCCATTGTGTTCCTAGTAAGTCTTCATGTCTAGCACATAAGCTGTGTTGTGCAGGAAGAGCAGTATGATATACTTTAAGGTAATGACCCCTTCTACTTTGAGACAAAACACTCATTCCTGCACTTTACCTCTCAGAATTTAATGTATAAGCTTATAATTGGTACTTCAAGTGGAAGTATACTTTTCTTTTACTGTTCAGTGTGTGTCTGTCTTCATGAAGTTGTCTGTTCCCTCCAGTTCCAGGTCACTGTTTCCTGCAGCATGTTAGAATGATGCTGTGAAGTGTTTTGGCAAAATACATACGGTCAACTTGGAAAACTTTATGGCTCAAGACCAGATTCTGTAAAGGGATCCAAAGCCCACCATCTGCAAATACAGTTTTGTAAATATTTGCAATCTCTTGCATATTCAGAAGATGCAGGTATTTAGTTATCTAACTGGCTGTAACTCCAATTACAGAACTGCAGCTGCAGTATTGAAGTACTGGGGTGTTCTGGGGTTTTTTTGCTTTGTCAAATCTGGTAGTAAGTGTGTGCTTCACAGAACACACTAATCTTTCCTTTGTATATTAAAAGAAAAAAAAAAAGACAAAATATACCTGTAGCCTGAATTACTGTGCTTTTTCATCTCCTGCTCTTTTGTACTTTGAATGGGAACCTAAGGGCGTTTGGGCACGTACAGACACAATCAGTAATAGTGGATGAGAAAAATACATATAAGACAACATTCAAATTGACATACATATATGAAAAAACAATGTTTTCTATATTTATTTTTCAACTCTTCAGAAAGAACACTCGGCACTGACCTAACAAAATGTCAAGGTTTTATTGATTTTCCATAAGCTTGCTTCAACGTGAGGCCCTGAAGTTTCTTGGGGTGACTTGATGTTTCAGAGTAGTTGGCTCCAAAAATTAAATGATGGGCATTACGTGGACTTATTTTAATTTGTACGTGGAGAAACCACACATTTTAGTATTTCATTGTTTTCTGAATATTTTATTTTTTCCCTGTGGAAAATCTAAAATTTCTGATTCTACAAATAGGAGGAAGAAAGAGAAATGGCTCTTGCCAAAGTGTAGAATTCCATTTCTCTGTATTCTTGTTAACAAATACAGCTTGGCCTTGCTGTTACCAGGATGTGGTTGGTCATTTCTCTACGTCTGCATATGATACAATGGCAACAATTACTAATTTGACAGATAATTACTGTATCTGAATTGTCAAGCTGCCTGCCCTGGCATAAACCAAACGGTTGCCTTGACTTCGAAGGCATCTGATGTCACAGAAGAGAATGTGTGTGTTTGAAGTGCCACGTATCCCGGTGGGATTGGTGTCCTTGCGTATTCCTGTTTTCTTTCACAGCAGCTAAATCGGTCGTTTTGTTCTGGGATTAGCAACTTGCTTTGGCGTGGGTACGCGCCTTGTACTGTCTCTTGTGTTGCTCTGTGACTCAGCCTCCTGGCTGCTGCCTCCTTTTTGTGCCTCCCCCCACTCCCA